AGTGATCAAGACAACGACATAAAAAAGGACACTCTAAAAGACATGGCTGTCATTATTTGTACTTTTTAAAATTTGATCAACAAATGTAAGAAAAATTAAACCAACATTTGATCTTAGGTATAGTCTGTACAAATGTCTGATATATGTTTTTTCTCTGTGCCATAGAATTCAATTTATTGCAAAAATAATGTCAATTAGCAACACTGTGACACTGAATTATGTTTCCTTATTAGAATGAAGATTGACACTTAAGTATATTTAGAATGATGCTTCCAGTAAAACTACTCTAGTGGACCAAATGTGTATGAATTTAAACCTGTTAATAGCCCTAAATAGGTCTAGTATTCTGTCTAGAGTAACCTGAGCTACAATGTAAAGTGCCTAAATGTTGTTTATTTTATTTGTTTCATAAAAAAAATATATATATTTGCATCTTAGGCAGCAATGAATGTGTTCGGGGCTACGAGTGAAATGAGGATTCAGATATGGACTGACTCATTGATGGTTTAGGTCTCTTTAGCTCTATCATTACAGATCCTTTCTCTGCTTGAGTTTACTTTTATTCCTTTTATCCGTTCCTATTTGTCTGCCATTTTTGCATTGGTCTGTGTTTTATTGTGGTTTTATTATACTTGATTTGTACAGTACTTTGGTCAACTGTTGTTGTTTTTAAATGTGCTTTATACATTTGGATTGGATGATTCTCAAAGCAGGAGAGAAGAAGAGAAGAAGCAATGCTTGATAAAAAACAATGCCATAAGTTGTGGGCAACAAATGTGTTAGTAAAATGATGCAACATGTGAGTTGATGAGTGACCCTGAATGTGAACATTACTTTTGTTTTCAAAGGAAACTCAGCAGACAGGTGTTTAATAAGAATGAGCGGATATTGAAAAAAGCAGAAATTCACTTTTATTTTCTTTTTCTTCTAACTGTTTTGTAACCAACCATTATTCTAATGACATGATCATCATCAGAAAGTGAAGAGTGCATTTGACACAAGTTAATTGACAAGACTGTACATTTCAATATCCCACTGCAACCACCATTGCCCAGTACAGCTGAAAATGTAATTAGAAAATACTTGAAGAATACTAAATGAATATGTTCTAAAGGTACGACCAGAGAAATCACTGTCAAGATCTATATGACTTTCCTGAATAAATAGCCAACTGAGTTTTTTTTGCTGATGTTTTATTCCACAAGAGGGCGCCCACAACTAACTGGATGCTCTATAACTGAGCACATAAGTGGTCTATGAATCACAGCTCTGTGCTTTATTGGACCACATGGAAGACAGATACAGCTTTAGGGACAAGTTTATCTCAAAAAGGATGCAAAATTTATAATTATGTTACCCAAACATGGTTCCCACTTTTTGGAGAAAATTTCCCAGTCTTTTCCAGGACATTTTCAGTGATAAAGCTGTATGACCGGAACGCATCGTACCGATACACCAATATGTTTACTTTCTGTGGAAGTCGGATTCAAAGGATGTGCAGTCTTTGGCTATTACCATGAATACTTACATGCATATAAATGATTATGAATAATTATGTTATATATATTATATTAATATGAGTATGTTACATTTATGGTTTCAGATTTTATAACCTAGTTTGTCTTCTTGTGTTCTCAAAAAATAAATAAAAGCTTGGCTATGTAAAAAATAAAGAGCCAGGATAAAGTATCTTGCACCTACCTTACTCAAAATAATATAATGTAAAAATAATAGTAATAATGACGACAACAAGTGGTCGTTAACAAATAACTCAAAATCATGACTATTCATTGAGTAGTAATAAATATTAAGAGGAAAACCTAAATGTAACATTTAAATAAGCCTTCCTTCCAATACTTAATACTGCTGATATACCACACAGTCACTATTTGATATGATCTTTTCAAATCTATAATTTAGCCCTTTCTGGAGACAAGGCTGTCTGTTTTGGAGAACTCTGATATGAAATTGGGAGAATGTTTGAATGATTTTCATAGACATTTTGCTTTTTCTGTCATTTTTCAAATGTTTTCCATGACTGGGAAATTGGTCAATTGTTTTCCTGGTTTTCCAGGATGCATGGGAACCCTGCCAATGTTGCAAAACAAGCAAAACAACATTTCCTCAAGGGGCTTCACTAAATGAAAACCTTCTACACCTTCTATCTTTACACCCAAGGTAATAAAACACATCCACTGACAAAAACTATCACAGAAAAATGGAAGACACATTAGGGGCAGCAACAGAGAAGGGACCCCTCTCTCTGACTGTTACACTACTCAAAACTAGTTCACAGTATTAAACACCAACAAACCAAACTGAAAACCAGGATGGAAACAAGATAGATGTATTATAAACATCGAAATGGACTACCGCTCTCCCAGTCGTCTGACTACTCAAAGCTCTTTTATGCTGCGTGTCACAGCAGTGAATGCTATGTGCAGCACCCTTCAGTATTACCAATCCCTTCATACACATTCATACGCCAGGGACACTTTGACGTGAGACTACAGGAGCTGGGGATCAAACCCCCAACATACAATCCACTAACACTGAGCCATTGCCGCCCTGGCTGAGGGGGAAAACTACCCGATTTCCAGTCTCATAAGGCAAGATCCTCATTCAAACAGAAAAGAGACAATTAAAACATTTACAGAAAGAGAGAGAGAGAGAGAGAGAGACAGAATAGCGGTGAAGCTTTATAGGACAAGGCCCTTCAACAAATACGTTGTAGCGTTTATTGTGGTAATGTCTTTGTTGATACTGTGTTTGATCAGCACCCCATTCAGTAGACTCAGTGGGACGAACCATCAGTACATGTAAATAAAAACTGACTCAACTGTTTGATTACTTTCTTTGTATGTTACCCTTGATAATGCATAAAAATGAATACATTTGACAGGATAATAAGCCCCTTTGCTTTTGTGTTTACTGCCCTCTTTTCAGTGTCCAGTTTTAGCAGGATTAATCAGTTCTCTTGTGCCAATTGGCCAATTTAGTAATGTGTGACTACTATTACCAACAAATAAATAATGAGACTTCTCTGACCAAAATAAAACGTATCTGTTGTCTCTGTGAGTCATCTGCCTTTACACGAACCACTCGCTGCTGGTCCAAGACTATACATGTCAGGATCATGTCAAGTCAAACCCTGATCTGTAATTAGATCTTAGTGTTTGCAGATCAACACGCAGTAACACAAGCCCTCACTTCTACATTTCTGCTGTCCTGCCACTCCCTGTGTCTTTCATCCCCGTCTCTGATCAGCTTCAGAGAGGCTCAAGGTGAACGAGTCTTTTTACACCATCTCCATGAAGCTTCAGTGTCTCAATCTCTTTCATCTTGTTCATCCATCCTTCATCTTTCCTCTCTCGCGTGACGGATCTTTTCCAAAAATAAAACCCTCTATTTTTACTGTGTTACTCAGCTTTTCTGTAATGGATCTCTGTTCTGTCTCCACTCCAGAATTTACCACCCGCCATAAATTATAGATGAGAGGGACAGAGAGATGGGCCAAAAAAGCAGAAAGAAGTGATTAACGGAAACCTCATCAGAAACTCGAGAGAAGGCAAGCTATACATTAAACCCTGTAAGAAGTACACACTATAGGGGGAGAGATGTTTAATTCAGGTAAACAGGAGACGCGGAGCGAGATAAAGTAGGAGAGGTAGAGATGGAGGGAGATTTTGAGGGGACGCAAAAAAAATAGGGGGAAGAGCTGAAAACAACTGCTGACATGTCTGTTTTTGACGACTTAAGACAGATGAATAGGAAGCTATTTCTCTCAAAGAAAGTTGCTGCTTTTTTAAAGATTTTTTTGCTAGACGTGAAGTTTCAGTTGAATTCATTTCTTTAGATAAAAGCTTCAAAGCTATCTGCCTCTTTTATGAGTTCGTTCAAAAGGATTGTAACATGTTTACACGCGTGTGAACATTCACGTCTAAAAATAGAGATCACTCGTGAAGCGCTCACCTGTGTGTGCTCAGCCATGCTCGCTAGATGAGATTATACATGCAGCAAAACATTGAAGTGATGCTTTGTAGATAAAAAAAAAAAGTCTTTCATCATCACCCAGCGGCTGACTTTAATGTATCACTCCCTCTCTTTGCTTCTCTCTCCTCTCTGACCTGTGCACCTTGGGGGGGGGGGGGGGAATCCAATTTGTGTTACAAAAAAGGCTCCAAATTTGACAGAGGGGGGAGGACAGGGGATTTAGGGAGGATAGATTGAGTTTGAAGAGAAGATGGATTACTGCCGGAGGAGAGTGATGGAGATGAGAAAGACTCGAGGTTTGGAGAAGCATGAAATAAAGACAAGAGGGGAAAAGATGATGAAATGATGAAAGAGTCTAGGAACACATGTCAAAAACACGTATTTAAGCTGAGCAGTGTTCACCTGTGATGAAGGAAACAAAGGTGAAAGACAGAGAGGAAAAGGATGAGCGAGAGAGAGAGAGAGAGAGAGAGAGAGAGAGAGAGAGAGGGGTCGCTGTGTCACAGGTAGATAACGTGAGAGAGGTGAAGTTCAGGAGGTATAAAGTGTCGCCTAAAGGACCAGGAGATAGAGAGTGGGGGCAGAGGAACTCAATCCCAGCGCCAAAACAACAGCTGATGATAAAACCTCCTCACCTGCACTCACAGAGACACATATGGACAGCAGCACAGAGAAACAGTGAGAGAAACGACAGGAGGGAATATAGAGACAGAGGAGGAACTCGAAGAATATTTCTTTGGATTCTTTTTTTTACAGGAAACCTGAGGCTATTTATTATTTATTTTTACCTGGGACAACTGAAATCCTTACCCTATCAAAGAGCTGATTTTTTTTAAGCAAATTCTATCTGAAATTTAAGAAATCTTATGATCTGTAGCAGACTTTGGTTACGGTTTTTAAACACAAAAGAAGAAGAAACTAAGAACTAGAGCAGAAGAGAGGAGAGCAGGGAAAAGGCAAACAGAAGGTGAGGGAGGGGGAGGAAGAACGAGGGAGAGAAAGAGAGAGAGAGTGTGTGAGTGTGTGTGTGTGTGTGTGTGTGTGTGTTTTTGTGTGTGAGCCTGTGACTACGAGATGTTCATGATCATTCGGGAGACGTCCGCCGCAGGAGGCGGTGCTGCAACCATGAGTGTGCCATCGGAGAGGAGTGCAAAACAGGTGCGTGATTATGGCTGTCTATTTATTTTCAGAACTATGTAAGTCCAGTATGAGTGTGTTCACTGTTTTCATGTGTGTAATGATTTCTCTTTCTTCTCCTTATAAACACTTTTTTTTAATGCTTTTCAGTGTGGTTATGAACATGTTTATGCTCTTCATGATGCCTTGAATCAGATTGGTGTGAATACGTTTGTGTTGCAACAAATTCAGTAAAAAAAAAAAAAAAAAAAAAGGTAATTTTAAGATGATAATTTTCAGGAAATCAAATGTAAATATACAGTATATAACTAATTAAAAATAAATAATCCTCCCATATTTGGTGCATCTGTAAGTTTTCAGCTTACTAAGAAGATGCTCTTTATTTAAAGAGGAAACTCTCCTGTGTCTGAGACAAAGCTCAAACAATGTATTTCTGTTATGTGTTCAGTCAAAAGTTTGACATAATGGGGCTGGATTAAAATAAATGATCTGTTTGTCTATATAGCATCTTTCAGCTTAGCTTCGTGATAAAAGACTAAACTCAATAAGCCTGAACGCTATGAGAAAAATCTGCAGTATGCAATTACATCATTCAATAATGTGATGACAAAATGCAATCTTCTGCATGTCCTCCATATTAAGTGTAAGCAACATGTCTCTACTTAATATAAAATCATTTGCAATTCTTCATCACCACTAATTAACACCTATTAATCAGAGGTTAGCTCAAGGCTAGCTGGAGCTTAGTCTAAATGGCAAGATGGCATGAAAGCCCGGCTAATACAGTACACCCGGGGCTCCATCTGAAGGGGTTTAATCAAGCATTTTTTTTTTAGAAAGCATGGCATGTATTCATTTAGTAATTTAATTCCACTGCCTTGTTTTGAAGGCAGTATTATGCATTGTGTTAATTGAGCATGTTTTGTTTTTTTCACTAATGATGAAAAACTGTGTTTTTTTGTGCTGCTTCCAAAAATTCCCGACGTAATACATCAAAAATGAGGTTTTCGCGTCAGGGGGGTGAACAGAGATTTCCCGAGTCTCCAACTCTTTACTCCCCTCCTCAGGTGCAGGCTGCCATCAAGAAGAAGGTGGAGAAGCAGAAGAAGCGATCCATCGACCTAGGAACCGCAGACGTTCAGATCACTGCACCTCTCCCTCCTCACCTTCAAAGGCCGGCGATGATGGCAGCAGAAGCCGGGGCTGAGGGGGCTGAGGAGAGTGAGGAGCTGGAGCGGACTCTGGAGGAGATGATGGAGGGACCACCGAGGAGAGAGAACGAGAAAGAGGAGGCTGAGGCTGTCGACCTGCTGCCCATAGTGGACTCTGTGTTTGGACAGGTAGGAGCCATCTGCTGCTGTGTGTGTGTGTGCGACCCAATGAGTTCCTCCTTGTGGTTTGTGTGTTTGTGGGTGTGTGTGTCAGTCTGTGTGTGTATCATGTGCTCCTGCATCAAGTTATCCGGGCTATTGAATGTCCCAGCGATGCCCTTACTGAAACCCTAAGCCTCTAATTCAAATTAAAAGCCTGGCTTCACTCAGATTTTGTAAGTAGCCGTCTCTCCTTCGACCCTTGACCCCATAGTGCAAAAGATCACAAAGCTGCAGGTCAACACAATTTTACCCATTTCGCCCTTTAAAAAAAAAAAAAAAAAAACTCAAATCCTTCTGCAAATGGCAATGTGAGCCGAAAAGGACTAGTGGCTAAACCTAAGGATGCAGATAGCGTGTGTTTTAGAGGCTTAAAACTCCTTTACTTTGGGAGACATCATGAGTGTAATCCGCAACGGATACGGCCATCGTCAGCCACAGATCTGACTCGATCTCAGCATCCCATCGCTATCATGGTAAGCAGTGACACACGACACAGCTCAGTGCGTTACAGCATCTGTCGCGGTCAGACATGTGGGATCATGGTGTGAGAAAGTGCCGGCTTTGTGTGAGAGTGTGTATGAAATTTCAAACAAAAAAGGATTACTTTAAAGTTAAAGCCTCTCTTGCCTCCTGCTTCGGACCTCAGCATGGCTTGTGATCAAGGATTTTTTCTGATATGACAGAAGAAAATAACCTGATCCCATCAGCACACACTGAACACTTTTGTTCCTGAGGTTAAAACAGGAACAAAAGAACAGAATTATTTAAATCAAGAGAAAAATGTGATGTCAGTGATGATGCATATGATCTAAATTAAGAGAAGGGCGACTGAGTATGTGGGAGTGAGGACATACTTTTTGATTAACCTACAAAACATGAAACATAATTAATACAAATCTTCTCCTAACATATATGTATAATAAATATGATAAATAGAACTCAGCCTTGACCAACTATGACATTAAATATTTCTTACATTTTCATGCATCAGTGCTGACAGTGTTATATACATCCTCATCCCCTCCGTCCTCACTGTCTAGTCTGTCTCCTCTTTTGTTTCATTGATTGACAGCTGTCGTTAGTGGACACCAGCACATCTGACACCAGATCAGTTCATGATACGTCTGTTTGTTACAGAGGGCTGAGTCTCCAACAAAGAGCAGAGTCACTTGACCCGAGCGCTACCCATCTCAATCCCTTACACACCAACAAAAACACATGATTGTGTGTCTGGTGTGAAAATAAACCTAGAACCGCTTGTGTCAGTCGTTCGATGCTGTACCCTGGAGACAAGCAGTTAAAAGGTATTCAAAACAGATCTAAATAGGCCAGCAAACAAACAAACACACACGCACACACATACACACACTCAACACACAGCAGCATCTCATGTGCATGATAAATTGAGACAGCTAATAGTGGAGAATCAGCCTGGTAATTAATCAGGCTTAATGGTATTGGATGTGTCTTGGTTTATTAATGCAGCTGCTGGTGTCAGTTCTGTTGAAGTTGGATTGAGTTATGAGAGTAGACTAAACTTTTGATGATTTTACTGGTTGGATTCTTATGTATAGGAATGTGTTGGGCTGTTATATGTTGGTTTGTTCTGTTGGACTAAAAATGGTTCAGTATTAAAAAACAAAACAAGGGTTTTTTACCTTTTCAGTGTTGAAGATGTGCTGATGAAACTTGTGCGTAAGAATAAGCAACGAGCAAATACTAAGAACATAGATGCACCTTGCACCTGAAGCTTTTTTTTTTTACACCACATTTGTCACCACAATCCTAACTGGGGAAAAAAACAACAACTCAAGTGTAGTTTTGTTTTGACCTTGTTTGTTACTTTACACTTCAGATGTACCTCCGTTACATAAGACTGTTCTGTTTCACACACCAAAAATACTTAAACATGCACAGACTGTGGAAATGTGGCTTTGGTGAAGGAAATGCAAGCAGACTGTAAGCATCATGTGGTCAGACCAATATTTGCAGGGAAACGCATGCACACAAGATTTTAATAACCCTTTCTGGACGATTTGAAGGTGCATGTGTGCAAATAATAACCAGATATAAAGACAACACTTTTTCCTTGAAGATGTGATGTATGATTCTTTACTTGTGCTACCACGTCATTTGTGGAGCTAATCATCTTCTAAAAGAAAGGAAGAACTCTGTTTGGTCTGTTTTATTGGCCAGGACATGATATTGTGTTATTTACAGCAAAATACATGAAAGCATTTTCAAGGTAGATGTTTGTTACGAATGAGTGATTAGTTAAAATAGTAGTCGTATTTTACCCAATCAATAGCCCTCATACTGGTCTTCATGCCCTCTGGATCCCTCTTAGAGTGTTTCAGACCCAAACTGTTTCTACTTAGGGTCTTTTTCAGACTTAAGATTTAATTTACAGTCTTCGCTCTTAAGCTGCACATCACTCATCTAGACCTTCCCCTGAGCTCTGCCTAAAATAGAACAGAAGTTGTATAATTACTTCACTGCAGCAGCTGTCAGATGGTTATTACTGTAGATCCGTCCTAAAGCGGCCTCTAGTGGTGACATAGGCCAACGATCAGGGATGTCACATTTATGTTTTGAGTTTGGACCACACAATAAATGTGTCTTATGAGAGGGCCATAATAAAAGTCTCATAAAACGCGACACAAATATTTTCGTATGTAAGGCCCTGCACGCTGTTTATTTATTGTCGTGTTTTATTTATTATGTTCCTTTATTATCACTTTTCACTGGGCCGCTCACGTTTTTTTGTAATGAGGGACAACTTTTGCTGAATGTATATAAAATTGGACACAGACACACACACACACACAGACACACAGACACACACACACACACACACACACACACACACACACACACACACACACACACACACACACACACACACACACACACACACACACACACACACACACACACACAAGCGGTGCTGCATTTGGTTGCACTATAATAAGCAGTGAAAACTTCTTATGGAGAGATTTCTGACAGATGCTTACCCGACCACTTAGCATTGCACTCATCTCATTTTAATGTATTTTGATATATCATCATTTTAGTAAGCTTGTCCAAACTAGCTCCAGGGAGTTATAAGTCGAGTTCTTCATGCGCTATTACTTCATCATAAGTCCATCCTGAGGCCTGATCAGAGTCTGTTTCATAAGCTCTCAGTTGCTCCAGTATCTAAGCTCATCGGTTAAAGGATTTGGTACGTTTTAAACTTTGTAGCATTTAAGCTTTCTCTGAAAATATATTTCAAACTCAGAGCTCAAGAGATCAACTCTTACCTTTTTTAGGAATAAGAGAGGACTTGTTGTAGCTTTGATAATCACACGTTTGGTAGTTTACTAGTTGATCTGTGACAAAGCTTTTTCAACTCTGAAGGGATCACCATAAATACAAAAAAGTGTGGGACAGGAACATCTTTCTTTCAAACCAGATATTTTTTTTAAACTCTATTTTACCCTCTAATTTTATGGTTTATCATATGGTTGGTGACATAATAATAATAATAATATTTCTTATAATAATAAAGTACTTTCAGTCAAAGTGCTGTAATAAACCACAGTTTAATCTACAATATTTGTTCTCTAAATGTTTTGTTTGAACTTTTTTCCTTCCATCTTGTCTATAAATAGTCATTTTTAATGCTTTGCTAAAAAAATGTCAAAGTTAAGTTGCAGCAGATACATAAAAAGTGGTGGTTAAAATAACATAGTAGAGACTTATCTCTGACAAAATGTCCATTGTAGATAAAGACGATAAAAACTGTTTCAGATTAAAACCCAATATATTGAGATTTGTAGTTCAGTTTAACCTGCTTACTTCTGTTTGATGAGGTCTAGGTTATTTATTTATTCATTAATGTAGGGTTCATCACATTCTCTCTCATATTTTCTTCTCTGTCGTTACTGTGTCACTTCCTCTTTTCGTAAGGTCGATCCTTTTGTAGGGATTAATCCCCATCTGTTTACATGGCCTTAATTCTCACTTTAAAAATCTTCACACTGTAGAGGAATTTGTTTGAATGCTCTTGCAACATGTGGACAACTGAGGGAGGGAGGAGAGAGCAAGCAACTCCAAAAGAGGGTGTGAGAGAGAGAGGGGGGGGGGATTGAAAACGTTTGAGTGTGAGGAGGAGCAAATAGTGTTGCTGCTGTTGCTTTGAAGAAACAAACAAGAGAGCTGCATTGGAGAGTTCATTTGGGTTTTACTGTTTTATTTGCTGCGTTGTAGCCTTTGGATGACATAGAGATGGGTGGAGTCATTAGGGGTTGCTCAAGCATGGATTAGAGCAGTTTTTTTCATCTGTGCAGCATCAGACGTGATGGCTGATTACAAGCATGGGACACAGAGAGATATCAGAGCTCCAGTCTGAGCCCGACCCCTGAGACGTCCAAAGTGAAGAGAGCAGGGGAAGAAGTGGACGAAGAGATAAAAACTCAAAAATAAGATCTGAAATACAGAAAGAGAAAAGTGAAGGAATATATTTGGGAAGCTGGAGGAGACCGACAGGGTGAGATTGCTAGTTGACCAGGGCAGTCTGCGGGTAATGGGCAACTGCACCAAACCATCAATGAAAAACAAAATGAAGGTAAGCCTGCTGTGTCTCATATTGCTAAGACTGGAGCTTGACGCATCCGTTTTACTGTCTTGCATTAGAGTGAATTAGAGTAAGTAACTACTTATTTGTAAGAAAATAATAGTAAAAGAGACCATCGGGTTTTTGCAGCTTTTTGACTACCTGCCTTTATACTTAAACTTTCAAGAGTTGCTAAAATAAGAACTGTTTGTTCTTAACTAGCCAACAGATCTTTTTGTATTGTAGTTGCAAGAAAAAATACTAAATTCATTTAAATCAATAACACACTTTGTATCCTCTTACTTTAAGAGTACTTACTGTCAGTCCTTAACATGAACAATATTAAGAAGAAGAGACTGCAGCCATGTTTTCATCCGCATTCTAACTCATGTTTGTGTGAAAATAATGGCTTTATGATGTTCCTAGAAAGAAATAATAGTGTTCAAGAGTGAAGAAATTGGTCATACATACACTGTATGGCTGTGGTTGAATAACAGTCTGGTCTGCCTCTGAAGGGGGTCATGGATGGGCCCCTCAGGGGTAAGATGAGGGCAGGGGGCCAGGAGAGTCTGCAGCCGGAGGAAGAGGAGGATCAGGACACGGAGGAAAAGCCGTACAGGGAAACTTTCGGTGCGCTGGTGAAGAACTGCAACATGCTGCACAACATTGCGGGGCCGGCTTGCGTCTTCCTTAAAGAGGGCTTTTCACTAACACTCGTATGTAACGTCACATCAGAAACGTGAACCCTGTGCCCTCACGCAACTTCTTCCACTTGTGCTGATTCATTCTCATCCTCACCGTGGCTGACCCTCCTGCTCACCACCCAACCAGCTGTGTAATCCCATCGCCATCCATTACAATCAAAACTGCTGGCAACACACATGCTCCACGGAATCGATCTCTCAATTCTAATGGAAATTATTGACTGGCTTTTGGGGAGCTTACACTAAAATGTGCGTCACAGAGTGATGTGAGGTAAAGGCTGAACAGAAAGAGTGACGGGCTGACATTGGGCCCCAGAGGAGGCCCCTGATGGCTCCAGGTTCTCTCTAAAGCAATAAAACTGGATCCAATTTGTGCCATCCCATTCTGCTTTCTAGCACAACAAGACTAAATGGAAATGATTTGTAGGTGGTCCTGTAGTTTACTTTAAGCATGGCAGAGTGTCAACCGTTTCTTTCATGCAATAAAAAAAAGACAGCGCCATTTGCTTAGTTCTAGTCTGCCAAATTTTCAAACATTTTCTTCTTTTATCTGTATCTGTCTCTAAGTGGCTACCTGTCATCACAAGTGTAGCAGTATCAATAGAATACCAAGCATGCAGCTAGGACAGGAGTACCAGGCATCCGTGGTCTATTTTTTTTTTTTACTAATTAGTGTTGTTAAATCCATTGTTCTAAACTTAGAGGAAGTCTATTCATTTTGAATTTGGTTCAAACATATGCATTTAGTTTGTTGTGTGATAAAACGAGGCAGAGGAACATAAAAGTAAATGAACGATGAAGGATCTGAGAGGATTAGTCCCGTGTTTTTCTCATTGTAAAGCTCTTTGTGAAACATCCTCAACACTGAACCCTCCACTGTGGTGAGTTTGTGCGGACTTGCGTGAGAGCTAGAGTGCTATGTGCAAGATCGAACACGGAAATATATGTACACATGTGTGTCTGAACAATGTATACAAGGGTCTCTGGACTAACTAAACTAAATCTCATAATCTCCAGATGTTTGTTGCCTGGTAACTTCCCACAATTAATCTGGAGATTCCTGGTGGTTTAATGTTAAATGAAATGTCCTTTATGGCCGTATGATAATGCAACACATTTTAATCCATATAAAAACAGTTTTCATTTCTAGATGCACTGGGCTTGTCTCTAAATACAGCTTACTGAAGAGCTACATTACATTTGTTAGTTATGTTACTTTATAGATGGCTCTAACAATGCATGAGCTCAGTTTTGAGGCAATGTAAGAGGATAGTTTAAACTGTGTACATCTCATTCAATCAATCCGTACTGTTGAACCACATCAGGTCCAAATCCATTCATTATTTCTCTCATTTTCTTCATTTTGTTTATAACGTGTTTCCCTATTCAGTTGTTGTCTTGTACCTCAAGTACTTTGAATACAAGTTAGATTTGTGTGTGTGTCTGTGTGTTTGTGTGTTTGTTTGTATCTTAAAGGTTCAGAAATGTAAAGAAATGTGAAGCTAATATGTGTCTCTACGTCCTCTGACAGGACAGAGAGCTGAGACCAGAGGAGATTGACGGTAAGGTGTTTTTCTCTACAACAAACATCCAGCACGTCAAACACATCAGCTGACTGAGAAACACTGACGTGTGTCTTTTATCGTGTTTCTGTCAGAGCTCCGTGAGGCGTTTTTGGAGTTCGACAGGAACAAAAAAGGCTACATCAGTCATAAAGATCTCGGGGAGTGCATGAGGACCATGGGATACATGCCGACAGAGATGGAGCTCATCGAACTGAGCCAGCAGATCGGTGAGTGGAACAACAGCCTAGAACATGTGATAGAATAGGATAGAATCAAATAGAATAAACAGAAACAGAACAAAAAATGCAATAGAAAAAGACAAAAGGAAAATAGGATGAGATCAAATCTGATACATTTTTGAATGGCACAACAAACGGGAACATCTGAGATTACAGAACAGTGTTCAATAGAGCAAACCATAATAGGACAGAATAAGAACAGAGCAGGTACAAATACGAAAAGAATCAAATGGAAAACAGAATGTAAACAGGAATAGAGAAAATAACTGGAAGACAAAATGAACAACAGGCTGGAATAAAATATAGCAGAACAAGAAAGAGACAGAAGAGAAACAGAGACCAGAACAAGATAAGTGAATTACAAAAGAGTGGAAAAGGAAACATTAAAAAATCTAAATGTAATAATGAAAAACAGGAGAGTAACAAAATGAATAGCATGAAATAGAACAGAATAGAACATGCCAGGGCCCACAGTTAGGAACAGACCACATAGAAAAGAAAAGAACATAATAATGACTACAAGCACAGTCGGAACACAACAATGAAATAGACCGACTAGTTTGCTGAATAAATGTGCACGCGGTAATTGTCAAATACATTTCTTGGAAAGGGTTATGAGAGTGAGTGATGAGATGAGAGAGGAACAGACATGACCCGTCACTTCTCTGTTTGCAGGTGGAGGGAAATTGGACTTTGAGGATTTTGTGGAGCTGATGGGACCAAAGATGTTGGCAGAGACAGCCGACATGATCGGAGTCAAGGAACTACGAGACGCATTCAAAGAGGTCAGGCTATGCAGACTGATACTAGAGGCTGAATGTTGTTAGCTATAACACTCGATTCTAACTGATCAAAGTCATGTGTAAATTTGACCACTATTAATTGCTGCATTGCAAAATTTGCTTGGATGAAGCGATCAATGGTGTGATTATTGTCGTTCATGCTGTTAAAGGAAAAATATGTGCTCCTAAAAGGATCACTTAATGTGATTGATAAAGAAACAAGAGTTTAGAAAGATACTTAAAATACCTTTGCGCTAAAGATAGTAAACATCTTCACATGTCCCTCATACATTGAGGGGTAACAGCTCTTGACGTGTTGTAAAAGAGCCACATTTAAAAAATACTGTGTCTATCTTCATCAAGGTTCAAATAACGACCATAGCTGGAGTTTTTCCTAATTACCACTTTTCACAGCAGACAATTCTGACATGTCACAGCAAGAAAATCACCAGTGTTGTAGAGACCGTTTATGACTACTTTCCACTCAGGGGAGCTGGTTCTATGGCCCTGGTATCATTCATGCTGGAACAGCTTAAAAGAAGCTGAGTCATCGTTTATTTCATTCGAGCTGCATTTGTCTTGCTGTGACAAGTCAGAACGCCTGCTGTGGAAAAAGTGAAGTGGGACCTGCAGGCAGGACAGAAATTGTGCCATTCAGAAATAACATGGTGTAATAAAAAAAAAAATGCTGCTAGAACAATAAGTCACAAATGTTACATATTTAATCAGAGAGATTCAAGTTCAAGATGGATAAACCTTTGATGGGAAAGAATCATTTTTGCTGTGTTCATAAATGCTTTCTGGGTGTTGCTGTTAGGTTGATAAAAATTGTATATGTCAGGTTGTGGACATGTCACGTTATCAAAGTCAAAAGGGGAGCAGGCATGAAAAAAAAGAACCATTCAACTGCTCTGACAGATGCATCTGACGCTGTCACGCTCAGAAAGATTTCCATCGGAACCGCTTCAGGTCAGCTCGATCAAATAGATTTATTTGAGGCGAGTTAAAGCTCCAATGAAGCATTATGTAAACCGCAAAGGTGGCGGTCTTTGATGTGGGAAAAAGATAATCTTGCAAACCAGAACATTTGATATTAAACCTTTTCTAGTTAAGCTTTTTGTACTAGTTATTGTGCTTATGGCTCTAAAACTGTCTGTAACAGTTCAGTAAAAATAAACTAACATGAGAAGGCCAAAAAAAATAACATTTTGGATATTAGTTACAAATAATGTTCTTATAATGTTATTTCAGGGGTGCTGAAATGGAACCCTAAAAAGGGTCTAACATTGCAGATGGTATCAGATAGAATGAGAGGCCTGATGTAGATAAGATGATTGGTTGTGTCATTCGGAATAATTCAATCAGCAGAGGTAACTATGGTACTGAAGTAAAATATGAATGAATTTGAAAAATGTCTTTTGAGACCCTCTAGTGGCGGTACAAAGAATGACACTGTGACTGCCTTTCAAACAAACTTTTGTATGTTTCCTATTGATGTATAGCACGAGGAATTATTACATTTATGCGTGAGTTTTAACATCTGTCCTCTCTGTGTCCAGTTTGACTCTAATGGGGATGGTCAGATCAGTTTGACTGAGCTGCGTGAAGCAATGAAAAAGCTCATGGGAGAACAAGTGACCAACAGAGAGATCAACGAGATTCTTCGAGACGTTGACCTCAACGGAGATGGTCTGGTGGACTTCGAGGGTGAGAGAAATTGTCTTTGTCGACATTGGCTCTCTGAGGAGATGAAAGTAGTCCTTTTTCTTCTAACACTTTTCTTTTGTCTTTTCAGAGTTTGTGCGGATGATGTCTCGCTGAAAGGTCCACCTACGTTACAGATCAACAAAGAAACTGTGCAGCTACTGGACTTGTGACCACACTACATCGTAGTGAATGTTATTCATCTGCTCTTAAGAGCATGTATCTGGAAATTATATTTTTCATATTTTATAAAGAAAAACAAATTAATACGTTTGAATAGACAATAGCACCCTGCCTATGACTGACACAAATATTCACATCTGAACTTAGGGTGCTGCATTAATATTTATTATTTAAACTTCGGTAAAACATATCGAAAGCTTCATAGACAACATTTATGACTCTGTTTTTAGAAGTATTTTTATGTATCAATGGTTGCCCTTTCAGTGGAAAATCTTGTTTCTAAACTGTTAAATTCTTTTTCTAATAAAATAAATGAACAAAATGTGATGTTTGGGAAAATTACTCTTAGATAGTTAGAGATGTAAAAATGGGGAGAACCTTTTTTTTAAGACTGAGAAGGCCAAGGCCCCATCCCTGGGTCAAGGCCCCATCCTTGGGACTATTCTAATAAAACATATTTGATTATTGCCCTATTATACTGTACAATGCCAATTGTCTCAATTCAAAATATGAAAATGAAGAACCAAAATTTATTTTAAGGCATGTTTTGCTGGCATTGAAATTCACCATCAAGGCAGCTGACATATCCTCAATGAAAAAACAGAATATGCAGCCACCTATAGACAATGTGCTCAAGTGCTTCTAGGAAGATTTCATGAATAAAGAGCATGTTGATTGTGAATAAGAAGGGGGGGGAATGTTGGTCTAAACACAGGGATTAAGGTCTTCTCATTTATTTACTGCCTTTAATCTCAGTGTCTTGATGCTCACAATCATCAACAATATTTCCTGACAACATACATTTCTTCCATATTTTAGGTCATTAGGGACGAGTGTGTCACAAGGAGGCTTTTCAGCAGAAGGGCCTTGAGTATTTAAAGGGAAATTTGTAAAACTGAGCAAGAAAAAGTAAACAATACTTACATGGTATGTAACTTGTTGACCTAGTCAGTGTGCAGTAGTTGTTTCATTGATAATTGATGACGGTCCAAGTGATTCTCGCACAGATTCATCACTATAATGACAAAATAAAATGTATAGCCTACCTTCATGTAACATTAATTCACATGAGATCCTATCCTATAATAGTATTATAATCTTGTTTTTATCACTTTAATACAACTTTGAGAGAGCTCAAACAGATGAGTGAGAGTAAAGGAGCATGTCATTACGCACATATGAGGAGGAAAAAAATACAAAATCTCAAACGATCATCTGTCCTAATTCAGTTCACCAGTGGATTGTGTGAACAACAATGCAGACTGTAGTTAAACCGGTGGGCTTTAAGTTGTGCTGTGACACTTTTGATTCTTTTCATTAACCATGTTTCATTCTTTGGCAGAGAAAAGTCCGGACAAACACTTTAGTGTAACTCCCCGGCCCGCAGTAGACTCTACACAGGTAGGCTACAACCCTCTACACAGGTTAGCTTAATTTGCTTTGAACGTAAACTAGCTTAATCTGCCTTGCACAAGAAGATAGCTGTAATGACTAATAAAAATAACTATATATGTGGGATATTTAACCAAATCAATATAATAACAGTTAGTTAAAGACATTAAAACATTGTGGAGGACAAAACTATATACACAAAATATGGTGAATAAGAGGATGGATATAGATAAATACAATAGACCTACCTTGACTGCCAAGGTGAATCTTACAAAAAGAGAGCGTTAAGAGGCCGGGGCCAAAACAAATACAGAGAAACAAATGTACACTCAGGGCTCTGTTAATTATAAACTCTAAACTGGTCACAGGCCACGTCTGTGTGAAATGTGGATGTAAAGTTTGTTGTCTGTTAAGTATAAAATGTTCTGAAATGTTAGCACTCCTGTTAGTAGTGTTTTGAAGTTAACGTTTTTTCATGAAAATGTTTTTTTGAGGTCAACATTTTTGAAAATTTTCGACGTTTTTGGAGTCAAAATGTTTTCATGAATTTTTTAATTGGAGTTAAAATGATTTCATGAAAATTTTTGAAAAGTTTGAAGTCAGATTTTCGACTTTTTTAAGTCAATATTTTTTCATGAAAATTTTAGACATTTTTTAAGTCAAATTTTATACATGAAAACTTTGAGTCAAAATTTTAACATTAAAACTTTTGCAGTCAAAATGTTTTCATGAACATTTTTGACGATTTTGAAGTCAAAATGTTTCCATTGATACAGTCGACAAAATTCAAAATTGTATGCCTGCACAGCAGCACTGCCTTTTAAAATGTGTCGGACAACAAATCCATCCTATTCTGTTCAGTTTATTAATATATCTTTCTTTGTCAATTGACAGTAATGAATCAATATGGGACATGAGAGCTTGTAAGTGCTAGCCTCGGAGTTCAAAATCCTCGCGTTTGCATTATTGGTGGCTGGGGGAAAGGATTATTTTCCCCACTGGAGGCCCCTCCCCCAACTATGATGCGCCGCTGATTGTATCTATTGATAAAAGATTAATTTGAGCAGCAGAAAGTATTATGTCACCTGTAATTAATTTATCTCAGCACGCCACACTGACTTCCAGAGACCCTTTTGTTAGGCCAAGAAAAAACGGTGTTCTCTCTTATTAGGTTACTTTCTTTTATTCCTGATCAGGAGTGACGTGGAAGTGAGCAAAGATTCAGTTTAAAAACAGTAGCTACCTATTTAGGCTGAAACTGCCAGATAAAGTAGAACTGATTTTTGAGCAATGTATCAGACTGTTGCATTGTCTTTTAGATAATGATAAGTGCACAAAACACAAGCAATACAGTGTTTTCTTGAGATTTGTTCACACATGCCCTTTTATTTTCTGAAGATATATTTTTAAATTAACCTATCATGAGGCACAATTAGCACTGTTATTCTGTAGCCTAAACAAATAGCTTATGCAATCAAGATAACTGCTCTAAAAATATTGCAAGCATGTCTATTGTTGTAGTTGGCTGATTTTCAAACCTTCACAAATAAGACTATGAATACATGCGTCACTCAAAAAAATATATGTTAAAAGGATTTTCTGAATACATAAAATTAATGCATTCGACTTTAACTGGTACCAATCCATCCAATTTATAAACAATTATAAATTCCGAAATTTGAATTATATTAAATATTATTTTATTGTCTGAGTTGTTCATCAACATTTCCATCAAGGGGATAATAAGTAATAAATAGCAACAAAACATCTTTGAAATCAAGATTTTCCTTTTTATTGAAAACTTGGCCAGGATTCTGTACAGCAGAGAGGATGTGCTGAGCACAGGGGCAAGAAGTCGGGAGACAGGGGGCTCTAGGGACTCAGTTTCTTGTGGTGCATCAAACCCTGAGCCGAGAATCGAGTATGTAAAACAGCCACAGGTGTTGTGTTCCCTCTCTGGAGTGTCAGAGCACTATGAGGGGAATGGAGTGAGGGACTAACAAAAAGGAGAAAGGGGGGGGGAGCAAAACTCAGCCCATAGGGGAGAAAGAGAAAAATAGAGACAGAGAGAAATGGAGGGTGGTCTTGGTGGTCCTTCCACTGAGATGTTTCTCCAATCAGGGATCCTCACCCTTCCCTTCACTGCCTTAGATCATAGAGCATTAAAAGTACTGAGGTAAAGCCTCAGACGTCTCTCCCCCTTTCCCTCTTCCTCCGCCCCTCTCCCTCACTTCCGCTCTTTCTCTTTCTCTCCTTCCCTGAGCCTCACTTGCTGGCCATGGTGTAGCAGCCCTGTTGGTGCCACTGCATGTCACGGATACGCCTCACGGACTGGAACTGAGGATGACGAGCGCCATACTCGTTGAAGTGCCTGTAGTCACCCTTCTCCAGCAGGTACTGGCTGCCACGATAACCAGGGAACTGGTATCCAACAAAGCTGGAGAGAGAAGAGGAAACATGTCAGTGTAGGATTCATTAATGTGATTTGATCCCATATCTGTGATGTTTGAGCGAAAAGTGACACTCACGTTCCACAGCTCACGATGATGCTGCCCACTCTGTCGGTGAAGCCGTAGGAGAACAGGCTGGGGACGTCATCGTCCATGATCTCCATCTTGCGACCCTTGAACTCTCCAACCTCGTACAGGCAGATCTTGTGCTTCTCAGGGTCCTGGGAGAGAAAAACCTAGTTAAGGAGAGACTTTAAAGAAAAAAAGGACATGAGAGTATAAAACCAGAAATGTTTCTTTATACCATTCTGACAGGCCTGAAGGACAGCAGGTAGTCGTTCTTCTGGCAGTTGCTCCAGGAGTCCCAACGAGGATACTCTCCCTTCTCCAGGATGTACATCTCACCACAGAAGTTCATCTGCTCGAAGCCCACGAAGCTGCAGAGGAGATAGTGTGATGAAAAATTGCTCAAAGATAAGATTTTTTTTTTTTAAATGGGGACATGCTCGAATAAATAATCTTTTTAAACTTACGGTCCACACTCAACGCGCAGGGAGCGCACGCGGTCCATGCCAAGCTCACACACATTCATGCACTCGTTGCTGATCTCAATCATGCGTCCCTGGAAGTTCTCCTGGTCGAACACGTACATCTGGAGGCACAAAGGCTCAGAGATGAAGTTTCTGATATGATTAAAACAACACATTTTGATGAGACATTTATATCTTGTAGGCAAAAAAAAGGGGCCCATGCAACAACCACCCACCTTGTAGGACATCATTCCCATCTCAGACTTCTTGCCCTGAGCAGCCTTCCCATCAGTCTGGGAAGAAGTCTTGGACTTATCTCCACTGGACATGATTACTAGGTGGAAAAGAAAAGAGGAAAAAAACACAGTGAGAGGGAGTATGCTCATATAACAAATGTTACCACTTTAGTGTGGAGGTAATAAAGGATGCACAAGAGATGGAGAAAACACTCTTATTGCATGAATTTGAAAACAGATGTAAAACAATCTGTATATTTTGGTGTCACCTATACCTCACCCTCTACAGATGTACAGTATGTGTGTGTGTATCTTACCTGTATGTGTGTGATGCCTGCGCCGAGCCTTACTCAAAGTGTGTGCGGCTCAGAGTGTGCCTCCTCCTTTTATACGCTGGCGCTCATAGGAGAGGGATTATGGGTAGAGAAACAAACCTGCTGAGGTCAGAGACAAAAGACAAAAGAACCCCCTCATCATCACAGAGGGACAGACCGAGTTGATGGGCGGGGGCAGAGAGGACTGACAGAAGCTGAGGGACAGAAATAACACAAACTAATGAAGTATCAAATAAAATAGAAGTGTCACATTTAAAAGATACATTAAGTAACCTGAATCATAGTTGTTGTGTCTTACAGAATTTATATTTTCCTGTCACCTTGCCACAGAATTTGCCAAAATAAAAATCAGCTTCCACCTGCAGGTTTTATTTTTTCTTTGTTGAAGGCAGGCTATTATTTGATTGTGGATGTTGGGATATGTGGCCTCGTGCTGCATGTTTCCTGAAAGGTGGAAAAAATACGTGTAATGTTGCAGGCCTTGTGTCCAGGTATTTTTAAAATTCATGTGTGGTAACCTACTTAAATCTGAATGAAATGTTTCCCCACTTAAGCCTGAGTTTAACAAACTTTTTCTCTGCAGACCTCACGGCACAAGACTGCAGACCCCCAATCTGATATTAGGACAATATTTGAATGTCTCACTTTTGTATGTTTTTAATGTATTTCACTGTAGGATCACTTTTTGAGTGCAAAGACGTCCAGTCTACTGTAGGCCTATAGTCCTGATTCCTGAAGGTCCACATTTGTCAAACCACTATACTTGCGCCCTGGAAGCTGCGCGCGCAATAACGTTTGGTGTCACCATTGTGTGAACAAGACTGAAATGAAACTTATAGTTTTTAAACGTTGGTTTTCAGACTCATCTAGTTAGCTACTCCATGTAATTCAGCAGGGACTCTCTGCCCCGCCTTTAATCCCCACATTCATCACACCGATCCCGGCCTATTGTGCCGGGGCACGCGCCGGACTGCTGACCGGGGTCCGAACATACCGGAGCGCCTTTGTTTCCGAGCGGCAGCAGCTCTATGGGATCTGCTGAGCTGGCCGCAGCAGTACAACAGCATCCAGCGGCCGCAGAGCGAAGCCGGGAGCGCGCTCAGCCATCCCTGCGACTGGTCCCAGTGAGAGAACATGCACGCGCGAAGCAGGCGCGCTCCCCGACCGTCCATATAAAACTGAAGCGCCAGGTTCTGTCAAAGCTCTACGCGAGGCAGGCGGTAGGCGTGTTTCTCCAGAGCTCTTCCATTAAAGTACAAAAACTAGGTAAGGCTTCATTTCTGATTTCACTACCACACAGAGTCAGACTGACAAGCAGGTAAACAGACAGTCAGGCGAAAATTAAGCACTCTCTGAAACACCTGAACAAGACTTTTAAATCTTTTATGAGTTGTGTTTCATCTTTAAAGTAACTACAATGTTTGCCCAAACCTCCTAAAGGTTTTAGTTAGATTTCTATGAATTGTGTAAACTGAAGACCTACTTGTTAAAACTGAGAACAAACAGTCAAACTTTTGACATTTTAAAATGATTTTATTTCTTCATACAGTTTTCACCTAAACCACCTTTTTTTTTTTTTTTACTTACCTCATTCTCTCTGTTTTCATTTGCAACCACAGGAGTAAAGATGTACAGAACTACAAGGTATCCCATGATGCAGCCCCTGGTCAACTCAGGAATGGGCATGGCTCCTTTCTTCAAGGTAAACACACGCTCACATTTCCGATCAAAGTATGTGATTTAAGATCTCTGCATATGCGATATGTGATATCAACTCATCACCTTCCCTTCTTCTTTGCTTCCTCTCCAATCAATCCCCACCAGGTGACTGTTTTCGAGCAGGAGCATTTCCAGGGCAAGTGCCTGGAGTTCACCTCCGAGTGCTGCAACATTCAGGAGTGTGGACTGGACAACATCCGTTCCATCAGGGTAGAGAGTGGAGCGTAAGTCTCACTAACTCTTTCCCTGGTGACAAAAACAAAACCTTATGTACAGACAATGCATGATGTTTGGCACACCGATAGGGTGAAACAAGAAAAACTATTTTACCCTTCTTGCTGTCTCCTTATTCATCCATCCCAAACATCAAGAGGAGACTTGTGTGAACAGCTCTCTCTCTCTCTCTCTCTCTGAACAGCTGGGTGGGTTTCGAGCACCATGACTTCCAGGGCCAGCAGTTCATCCTGGAGAGAGGAGAGTACCCCCACTGGGACGCTTACAGCGGATCCCTCTCCTACCACGTTGAGCGCCTCATGTCTCTGCGCCCCATCTACTGCGCTGTGAGTTGCATCCTGCTTTTTAGTGATCCTCAGGACAACAAAACAAAACTAACCCAGGAAAGAAAAATCGAATGCTCTTTCTGTGTGTACCCCCTCACAGTCTCACCAGAGCAGTCGCATGATCATCTTTGAGAAGGAGAACTTCATGGGTCGCAGTGTGGAGATCTGTGATGACTATCCCTCTCTGCAGGCCATGGGATGGATGATGCCAGAGGTCGGCTCCATGCACGTGCAGTGCGGCGCGTAAGTACCTGAGAAGTGTAAAAAGATGTTTTGCATCTTTTTTTTTTTAAATGCCCCTCGATTTTACGCCCGTCTCATATCTCTTCATCTGTTTTATAAGCCTTTAAGCAAGAGCTGTGTTATAAAGAGCTGCTAAAATGGTCCTTCTAATACTCTCTGCCTTTTCTGCAGATTTGTGTGCTACCAGCACCCCGGCTACAGGGGTCAGCAGTACATCATGGAGTGTGAGAGACATAGTGGAGACTACCAGCACTGGAGGAACTGGGGCTCCCACTGTCAGACCCCCCAGATCCAGTCCATCAGGCGCATCCAGCACTGAGAGGAGGACAGGCTGAGACTGAGACAGCGACCCCCCCCCCCCCTTTACCCACAAACCCCTACTCTCTGTCTTTCTCTCTCTCCTCAAACCTTTTCTTTCTCTTGACTTGAGCCGCCCCCAAAACCACCACTGATGATTTACAGAAGCTGCCAGAGTGTGATAAGAGACAATATCGCACTGTTAAAGCACAGGGAAACATATGCTCCACATACACACACATGCTGACACTCATACAGTGTCTTTTTATTTGGTTTAGAGGTCCCTACACTCACATGCAGACACACACCTGCGCTGTACTCTCACCTGAGCTGGGCAATGATGAGTGGAGAAGTTCTTCAGGGAGCTGGAGCCAAACAGAGGGGAGATGACGCTCCAACATCACACCGTGACCAGGACACCCCCCCTCCCCTCATTGCAGCAGACTGTGCTGCAGTGCAGCTCAGATGTGTTTTGTTGTTGTGTAGGACGTTGATCCACAGGTTGAAAACTAATAAACTAATTTTCAATTCACGTTTTCTTTTTCCTTATAGAACAGTGTGTGACTATATTATTGGGACCTTTTCAAGGAAAATAAGTAAAATACAATAAATACTGATTTAAAGAAATGGTTTGCAACTTACTACCAATAATGCTTCACATAAACATAAAAAAAATATGTAACACCTTTGCAGTTTTGAAAAAAAATGCAACAAGAAAAGTGCAGCAAATACAGACAAAACATCAAAACAGTGATATTAAAACATTTACATAGTCCTCTGTGCGATTTCAGTATTCCAGTGTTCAAGCTGCGCTGTATTAAATAAAGCTAGAAATGATCAATTAAAACAATTTAATGTGCTTAGTAATTGTTGAAAGTTGTCAGGCCAAAAAAAAAAAGCTTTCATGTTTTTTTCTACTTTAACTGTAAATAGTGTTGCCATTTTAACTCGCCTTATATGTAGAATATTAAAGATACTGACAATTATAATCTTCTATTTCAGATATTTTTTAAAGATACCAACGTTGGTTTACCTGACACTTCACTGAATCTGAAACCTAAGTGTAATCATTATCAGTCAGGTTTTTTCCATCCTGCTGGTATAAATATAAAGCTGACTACGTGTGTGCATGGAGCTCACAAAAGCAAATAAACAAGGCAGTGTTTGCTTGTTCATTTACATTCACTTTCGTGCGTCTAATCCTCACCACTAACGCAACAAATATTGAACATTGGTTTATTTTGGGGTGCACATTCTGCTGCTTTCTGTCCTAATTGTTGTATTTTTAAAAGTGGTTAACAAAGACCAAGACCTTGTTGTCAATTTCTCGGTCAAAAAGGAAAACCTGCAGACCGAACAATGGATACCTGCCTTTACAATTGTTTGTTTTTTGGCTAAATCCCAAAGATGTGTTTAGGTAGTAAATGAAAACAACATACTAATGAAGAGACATATATTCAGTGACGGCAGCAGGGGGTCACAGAATAAAGCTGCTGCAACACCAGAAATAGAGAGGATAGCTTTACTGTAGAAATCAGAAAAATCTCAAAAATGCCACAAGGAACATTATCAAACACAAACTTGATGGTAAAACAAGGAAGACAAGAGTTTTCCAGGAACATTTACAAACTTTAGAACGTAGGCGGACATTATTAATCATACAACTAAAACAGTCATAGTCATATTTACAACAAATAAAACACTCCTGATTTTCACAGTACAGAAACCTGATTGTTTTTTCGCATGTATTTTTAACTGTTCCATCAGTGATGTCTTCAACACTTGAAGTTAATACAAACTTTGCTCAATATCAGAATAGGAATCATAAAGTGTGCTGAACTTTAACACGAACACATTCAGAGGTCTACATAAAGTTTAAACATCTAAAAACACAAAAATGAACAATCCCAGTCAACTTTGGCAGTCTGAAAATGATTAAAAGTCAACTCGAGAGCTAAAACGGAATATATGCGTACCAACTGCACGGAGCGGTTGAATTCAGTTGCTGATTTTACTCAACTTTATTTTGCAGGTTTTTATCTTTACTCCAAATCAACATGTCAGTTACAGCTCTTTTCCCCAAAACAGTGTTCCCTCACGTGATTGTCAGTGGGCCTGCCCCTGGACGGGATTACTATAAAAACATTTGAATGAAACTACATCCGTCTACCAAAGCTAAATAAAACAAGTTCAAGAACATTTTCTGGGAATTAAAACAAATAGCTAAACCTGAAGACAAGTAAAAATTAAATGATGTTCTTCTGTCTGTTTTGAACTGACTTTAAATCACTTTCTAGTCTAAGAGCATCCCAGTCCAGTATTCTCGAGCTCACCTTTACTCATAGCAGTGAAGAGTCCTGATGGAGCGTAGACCGTCTTTTCTCCAACGACGTCGACATCCTCGTCCGTCTCCTCTCCCTCAACTTCTGAAGAATCCGACCAGCTGATGATCACTGGAGAAGGGACGGGACTGGAGCCTCCAATCACATCAATATCCTCGTCTTTGCCGTCTTCGCAGCTTCCTGTTGATCCCAGACGGATCTCTTCTGCTGAATGAGAAGGGGGAGAGGCCCAAGGATCGGATTCTCTTATCCTTTGGTGGTTGTGATCATCTTCATCAACTTCATCAACATCGATCTCTTCATCCTCTGAACTCTCCTCTGTCCTCGCTGTTTCTCTCCTCGTCCTTTTTGGAAACAATCTCTCACACTGGTGTCCACATAGCTCAAGTTTTCTCTCTCTGTCGACGCTGATTCTGTTCTGTCGGCTTCAGAGCTCGTTTGTAATGCTGGATGTGCCATTGGTTTAAAACAAACTTTCTTGGCCGCAGGGGCATCATCAACTGTCTCCTCGTCCGACTCTACACTCCTTCTCTTACCCGTCCTCTTGGCTCCTCCTACCTTCTCTTGTCGCTGGACGTTTAATTCTTCTTCCTGCCTTTCTTGATTTTCCTCTAGTTGCTCGTTCACTGATTGCTGCTGCTGAATTGATGACATTGAGCTACCCCCTTTAGATACACTGCAGAGTCCATTCTTCTTGGGCTTCTTCTCTTGGGACCTGGTTGCTGGTTATCTGATGGTTGTTTTTTGTTTGAAAGGGGCTCATAAAGAAAGGGCATACTGTCCTGCAAAACAAATAAACCTCATTAGATTATACAGACAATGAAAGAGTCGACAGCTATGATAGAAACTTTGATCGGCAAAGAGCTACCACGTTAAGGTAATTTTCAAGAAAAGTAAGTATCAAGTAAATGTACGCATTTACAGACATCCATGACCATGATGACTGCACAGCATGTAACTGGTTTGTACTTTTCTGCTTGCCTGTATAAATATGTCAGTACTTTTATTTTTAAAACAAATACATGTAGAATGTATATCAATGTAAATATTGTTTAGTTGATATTTGAAGGTGGTTTAGCATGCTACCATTTGCCAAATAATGCTAAAGACAAATTGCAACTGAGGCTGCTGGAATTTCATCAGTGTAGTAAGTTGAGTTATTTTGTTAAGTTTTTGAAAAGTTCAAGTTTTACAGAGGTGATAAGGACTCTTCCTCTCTGCACCATAAATGTCTGTACAAAATGTTGTGCCAATCTTAAAGATGATCAGTTATTTCTGCTTGAGGAAAATTCAGGTATCACCAAACCTTAGGATCAGTCATCTTAAAGGGCCCATATTATGCTTTTTCTGGTTTTATATGCTCTTTAGTGTGTTTTCCATGAACCCTGTGCATGTTTAGCCACATCTATTTGCAAAAATTCAAAGTCCGCGGAAAAGCGGCTTCTCCTACGTCCTCCTGTTAGCTGCAGCATTAGCTGCATGTAACGCTCAGTTCTAGCCCCCCTCAAAAAAAAATGTGTCAGTGTGACGTCTTGTCAGTGTGATATCACTGATCTAAGCCCATTGGCTCGTTGTGGCAAGCACTGCAGCTCATGTTGCACGCCCATTAACTTCTGTAGCACGCCCACGATATGCCGTAGCCTGCGGTAGCACAGTAGTGCTAAGGTGCTAATGTTTTTGCTCCCCAGCCCTCGGAGCCAGAGTGGCTGGGCGGCTGAACAATTATGGCAGAGCCGACAGGCCGACCAATCAGATCAGACTTGGCACACGTGGGGACTCTGAACGTGGGCACTGCAGAGCCTTAGAGATGGTCAGAAGCGAGCCGGTGCATGGAGCGGCAGTTCATGAAAACAGACACTATTTTTCGAACTTTAGCTATTGTGAACATACTTAGTAGGTACATAGATTAAATATATGAACCCCAAAAAAGAGCATAATATGGGCTCTTTAAGACCATGAATCACAGTATAAAAACGTTTTGTCAAAGGATCAATTCCAACCATGATGTGGGCCTCCCTGAACCTGCTCCTGATTGGGTAGGACCTCATGCTCCAGCTACCATGTGGGTATTTCACTGATGATGGAGTGCTCTTTGTCTGTCCGGGACTCTAAAAAATGCACACACACAAAAACCACCACACATTTGATACATTTCTTTCACATTCTTTGCACTTCAAAGTAACTTTTCAACATCTTAATCTAACTTGTCCGATGGTGACAGCAGATACAGTTTAATCAGAGGCATTAGAGCAGAGTTGTTTGAAAAGTTTGTCACCTCAGCTTCCAGACTCTGACAGCTGCGTCCCTGCTGCGTTACTCGGACTGGCAGCGGGCCACTTCTCTCCAGTTTCACGACAGGCATCTGCTGTAGCTGCTTGTCTCTGTAATGAACTGTTTTCTCCCTTGCTTTACTCGATGATACAGGCTTCCTCTTCCTTCCCTTCATCGGTGAGAACGGATACTGGTTTTTTTTATTCTTCCTCGACTCTCCAACTCGTGTCACTGTTTCCTCAGCATGTTTCAGGGGAGCCAAAGGAGACAGCTGTGGACAGCTCTGTAGAGTTTCAGCTTCATCACTCTGTTGCAGTTCACTTATTTGAGAACATCTGAGTGGACGTGGAGTATTCTTTAGACGAGGGGCTTTGGTCTGGGTCTGGGTTTTTCTGTATTCGCTCAGAACAACCACTGTGCTGCTCTGACTCCCCCTCTCCATCTCGTCCCAGCGGCCGACATGCTGCTCGAAGGACTGCAGAAAGTTCTCAAGCATGTCATTCAGTTCTCCCTCTCCTTGCTGCTGCAGAACTGGCACTGCAGAGCTGGAAACGCCTCCTCCTCGGCCTAGGCCTCCACCAACAACCCGGGAAGATTCTGCTTCCAGGAGTACAGGGGGACTGCCAACGCATTTGTTTTCAGTCAAAACATTGCCAGATGAGGCATAGGTGCAGCTGCTGCCGGCTGAAGGAAGAGGCAGAGAATTTAGGCCTCCACTGTTGTTGTTTGGCAAAATGTCAAGGCCCATTATCACTTCCTCCAGGAGACGATCCATGGGTTCAGGCTCATAGGGTGGAGGGGCTGCAGGAGGGAGGGAAGTGGTGTGGAAGAGAGATGGTGCTGGAGGCAGGTAGGAAGCTGCAGGTGACATTAGGACAGCTGATGTAGAAGGATGGAGGACAGGGCTGGAGTTGGATAATGCATGATAAACATTGTCAAATTTCAAAGGAGGGGAAGAAACAGGAGCTGATGTTTGTTTGGCCCTTGTCCTCTTAGGCCGGCCAACAGGGAGACCATCCTGTAAGCAGGGAGAAAAGGTGTCATAATTATATCAAATTCAAACGTGAGTTACTTATTGGTCAAAACATTACTGGAGAAAGTTCAACTAATCACAGGACCAGATCACAAATACATAAACTACTCTTTTTTTTTTTTATCTTTCAAACTCCATCCTAACATTGACTTTGACGGCATTGGTTTTACAAATATTTAAAAAAGTGAAGACTAAGTGAAACAACTCAGAACATTTCTGTAGCAGCAGATTGTGTCTGCAATGGAAGAAGGTTTAAAGCCAACGTCATTTTAAGTTGACATTTACGTAGACAGTTCCAGCGTATCTTTGTGGGGCTGACATGATAAGACAATTATCAAATTTACTGTTGTTAAAAACTTCATCAGCAACCTCTGTGGTTATTAATCATTTGTTAAAGTAATTTATTGATCAGATTGTGAGATGATTTTCTGGCCTTTCTTTGTTTCCTGTAATGGTGAGCTGATACCTTTGATAGACAGAAACTAACAAGAGACAATTTCTAAAACAGAATCATGGTTACAAAAACGCAATGTTTTTCAACTTTCTATAACAGAGGATTGTTGCATTTGGGACTCTTTTATCAGACTGGCGAGGTCATGAACATAAGCAAATCCCAGTTGTGCAACGCATTACATATCTTATTTTCTAGCAAATTACTGTTTGAAAAAAAATCAACTTTCTTTGTCATCTATTGAAATAGTTACACGTTACAAGTTAAATAATTACAGATTGTGTGTGTTTCAGTTGCCCTTTGTTATATCCTGCTTAAAAATAAAATGCTGTATTACAAGATGTTCAAATCCTTTCAAAATATAGAAGGTAAGTTCATCTATTGTACCTTTAATTTATCTTATTTGAAAAACAGCATCATCCTGTCTCCCTGTCATGTTTTGGTGATGTCACAAGCAGGACAGCAGCAGTTCATCTCTCTCACCTGGTTATACAGCTGTATGTTACTTTCTCCTCCCTCTCTCAAATCGCCACTCTGGCTGAAGTCCCACTCTTTGCCGCGCCTCCTCTTCCTCTGACAGCTCTTGGCCGGCTTTAGTTGCTCCCTTGTCTTCAGGTATAACCTCCTGCCTACAGCTCCTCCACCCTGCCCCGTCCTAGGAGTCTTCATACCCCACCTCTGCAGGAACATCTTCTGAAGCTTGCTCACCCCAACACTCTGCACATCCACCGTCTGCGTTAACACTCCCCTACCCCTCCTTCTCCCTCCTGTTTTTGCTTGGGGTCTCCGGGTTCCTCTCTCACCTGTTGCAGCTCTCCTGGTACCTCCTGTTCCTGCTGCTCGCCTCCCACTTTTTCGCCCTCCGCGGGGGCCCTCCTCTTGATGCGGGTTCAGGAAGTAGTTGATGTATCCTGGGATGTTATCATGAAACTGCTCCAACTGATTGTCCTCCAGATCTCCAGCTGCTGCTCCAGCCCAACAGCGGTCTGTAGACGGGGTATTTCTGCCTTGGGTTTCATCTGGTTCATAGACGAGGGAAACTGGGAGGTAGGAAACATAAGGGGGAAGAAGATGGGGTTCTGTCTGTTGTAACGTTTGGAGAGCACCCATATCGATTGTCTCAAAGGAGCTGCTGGATGAGAGGGGTTGCTGTGGTTACCTGTAGCTCCTCGTCTGAGTCCAGTGTCTTTTTACCATCTGACACCGTCTCTCTCCACAAAAAAGTGCCTTCATTCCTCTCTTCTCTCCCCACCTTCCCCTTCTCTCCTCACCTTCACCAGGAATCAGTGGCTCTGTCTGCACTCCTTCTTCCCTGTGCTGGCCTTCTCCCTCCTCATTTCTTCCTCTCGTGACCTCCACCAGCCCATGGATTCCCAACCTGGCTGCAGCCGAAACAGCTTCTTGCCTCTCCTCCTCCCCTCGCCAGCCATCTGTCCAGAGTACAGCAGTCTGACAAGGTGGAGCAGGGTGCATGTGCCGAGAGCGCGAAAGTCCAAGTGACGGCTCTGTCCTGTAGGAGGCGCTGGCAAGGCAGACAGAGAGGAGGAGATTTGGGGGCTGATAGCTGAGAGAATACAACTGTGAGCTGGCACAGATACACCTGGGGGAGAGAGTTAAGGTGTTAGTGATGATAATAAAGTCAAACTGTATAATTGACACGTCAGAACTGCAATTTGGAAGATTTTCATTGTCTTTATGCATACCCTTAACAGAAAATAAAGTAAAAACAATCTCTGACAGGAAGTGAAGAGTGGCTCAATGTGGTGTGTTTGTTTATTTTTTAGATTTTAATTTTGGGGCATTTTGCCTTAATTTAGACTGGACAGTAGATAGATTAGGAAATCAGGAGAGAGAGTGGGGAATGATATGCAGGAAAGGAGCCGTAGGTCCGACTTGAACCCGGGCCGCCCACTTGGAGGGCTATAGCTAGGGCACGACCTAACCGCCATGCCATCAGTGCCCTGATGTAGTGTATTTATACCTTCTGTCTTGATCAGAGTGTCACAGAACTGGTTGCACTGCTGCTGTCTCTGCAGCTCAGCGAGCAGGAGGGCTTCAAACCCCGGCTTTTGGTAGCACCACATCTCTCCATAAACTTCAGAGGAGATGCAGAGAGGAGGTGGAGGGGAGAGGTGAATCACAACTCAGTGGAAAAAAAATCCATACTGTTATGAATTTCATTTTAAATGTAAACAATAAAGACAGTTGTATTTGCCACAAACATGAAAACAATGGGATTAACGGCAATGCAGCCAGAATGCAGTTTGAACATACATATATATATAATTACATGAGAAGGAGCAACATTTTTTTAAACACTTCACCAGGATCAACATCACATACACGTATCCATGTAAGCACGCCTGGGCTTCACGTCAAACCTCAACAGCATACTGGTCACATCATCAGTCAATTTTACACAACATGAAAACAACACACATTACATTATGTGTGTATAAAGCTACTCTGACTTGGTGAGTCTGTATACTATGTTGTACCAATGGAAAGCTCAATTATGACTCTATGAACACAGTAACGCACATTATTTGGTCAAAAGTTGACTGTAACAAGAAGGATCGATCTCTTGTCTATTCTTTGTTTTTATTTGACTGATGATGACTTGAAAGGTAAATGTGAATTTACACCACAAATGTTTAATACACAAGTTACTTGAGTATTGTATAATAATATCAGCCCTATTATTAACTCTTGTAGTGGAATAAACTTAAGTGAGGTACACGTTCATTCATATTTAAATTAACATCTATATTCCTTGTGAATACTTTTCATTTAAAATCTCTTAATAATACTTTTCTATTTTTAAATATGTCACTGCATTCTTATCATATTAGTCAATAATTGTCGATATATTATCTGCGTGAGTATTTTGGTATAACAGTGAAGCTAAACCTTAAACCCTATTTATTGCACACTTGATGTAATTATAATTAACAGCTATATATAATATATACTGATGTATGGCTTGATTTTTGATTTTCACAGAAAACCAATTTATTTGCACAGCCAATGAAAAAATAAAAAATAACAAAGGTTGTATTTTTTTTTTTAACTTGATGAACACAGCTTGTAAAACAAGTGGGACAACCTGTACTTTAATTGGACAGAGCTCAAAGCACACCTGCTGCTTAGCACCAATGCTAATCAGCAACAAGTCCGGTCAACTACAGAGCTGAGGTGTACATTTGTCATAACAGACAACCTGTTGGTTATTATGTCATTAACATCAGTTTGCTGTCTCTAAATTGTGCGAGACATAATTAGCTTCTTTGTAAAAGGCGGAATGTTAGTTATGAAGAGAAACGCGGACAGGTGACAGACATCTTCACTCACCGACTTCAATCCTCGCTTTCTAAATCCGTCCTCAAAGAAATGAAAGAAATGTTGTTCTTTCTTGACACTACATGTGTTTCGAAATAAGGTGATATAAAAGTTGTATTTTCTTTTTCTTTTTTTTCTTCCCCTGGCCGTTTTTGGGAGGTCATCCACGGGTCAGCGTGGTCGTCCACAGTAGTCATCACACTGCAGTTTGTCGCTCCGCCACCAGGGGGAGGGGGGGGGCAGTACAGTACAGAGACCACAGCGACAGACAGTCAAAGAGTAGGACAAAACAATAAATGCGAGATGATTCACGTCTCGTACTTTCCCCTTTTCGCTTCACCTGGATAAGCTTCAGCATGTGGCTTGATACAGCGGTTCTTGTTCATTGTCACCTAAAAGACAATCTCTGAGGATGTTAAATAGCTTACTGAAGTAGGAGTTTGGCTCCAAAAGTTGTTCCATATTTCAGTGGGAGTGAAGGGGGAAAATGGTTCTTATTGTGTGTAATGTCATAATTGTATGATTTGATTTGTTTATTCCTCATTCTGCTTCATGGACAGTTTTTGCTTGCTGAGCTTTAGTGAGGGGAAAGTAACAAAGTGGAACTAAAGAAGATTTTCTTTGGAAGATTTATCTACATAATAAAAACTCTTTGCTGAAATTTCAATTTTAGCTTCGCGATAGAATAATCTGCTCGAGTGTTAACTGTCCAAACATAATAGGTCCAAACATACTTTATGATATCACCTGTTCTTTACTGTAAAAATCAGGGGGCCAGCGAGTTTAAGTGCCTTCGATGTAAAGTGTTTAAAAAGCCCTGTCCAAAAAGTGAGTAGGCCTACTACAAAAATAAATATTTAAAAGGTTGTTATTTGTAAATACACCGTGGCCAATTGTCATGTATCCAACGCATGACAGACTGAACAACGTTTACTGTCAGATTTCTTGACCTTGATATGAGAATCAACTAATTCAGTTGCACATTTTTAAAAGATCAGAGCAAAAAAGACTGTTTATTTTTCATTCCATAACATTTTAGTCATAGGCTCAAGTAAAAAGGACATATAGGGGACTTTCAACAACAACCCAAATGAAATTAGTCAAAGTTAGCCAAATAATAAATCTGTGCCCTTTTGATAGCACTGGCACCTCTTGTAATCCGTTGGGAGTCTTTGTTTTCATATCCACAGAGAGAAAAAAAACAGTTCCTAAGTTTTTTTTCAAACAAATATTTCAAATAGTGTTGTTGTCCGTGTGCAATCCAAAGACGACTTGCTCAAAGGACATAGAGGGGACCGGACTGAAACCCTTGGTGGGTGCTGGAGAGTCATGTTGGCCTGGAGCAGGCCGGGGCCAGCGCTCATTAAACTTGACAAAGAAAAGCGGGTCCTTAAAGGGCCCCCCAAAGATAATGGCCTGCATTAGGTAGACAAGGGCCACGACCATGAAGCTGATGAGGAAGAAAGGGACAAAGGGCCTCAGGTGGTGCCATGCCACCCCCATCCCATAGCCTAGTCCGCCTAGCCCGCTCTGCTTCCTGGTATGGGACGTGTGGCGAAAGGAGTCTGGAGCCGGAGTGTGATCAGGGGACTCGTCATCTGAGTTCAAAGAGGGGGGGCCACGGCCAGAGACACCCATGGGTAACAATTAAAAACTGAGTCGTTCCTTTGCTCTGAAACAGAACTCCTACTTTCTTTCTCAGCTCCAAGGAATCACAAGGAGGGAAGAACAAGGTCACACTTTACCTCCCAGTTGTGTAGTTCCCCTACCTTATCCTAGATGGAGTACTTAATGTGGAATTGATGACATGTATCCAATGATAAATCCTTCTCAGCATTCACTCACAGCACCGAGCATGTGCTTTATTCCTATGGCTTTATCCTCGAAGTAGTTTTCCTGCAGATCGAACGTGCTGGAGTTAAATGTTGCTGCTTGTCTTTGAGCTTGAGTGAGCGATTGAGAGGAAATGAAAAACAGAGGGGGAGCTCTAAATAGATATGACACCTTATGACGGTACACAGGGAGGGAGGGAGAATCTGCCGCGCCCGGTGGTCTCAAGTTTAACGCTGTGTGTGTGTGTGTGTGTGTGTGTGAGTGTGTGTTTGTACCAGCTGCACAGGTTACAAACATCACACACGAAATGACTAACACAGATATGCACACACACTTGTCACTCAAGATGTACGCTCTCAGCAGCTAGAGGACAAAACCATCAAAACCATTTATGTTCCTATGCAGCTCTAATAAATCTCAACCTGTGATGCAGTGTTCTTGAATTATGACGGGTGCAGCTGTAGGATTTAAATCAACTTAGACAAACCTCACACATCACTTCCTAGCAGGGCCGTAGCAAAGATTTTTAGATATGCTGAGTCATATGGCCCCCAAATGCTCCCCGAGTTCAACATCTCTGGCTTGTAACCAGCAGGTTAGGTGCTAATTCTTTTTAACAGTGACTGAAGTGTGTGTGTGGCGGTGTGCTTTGTTATATATTGAGACCATCTTCAGGGAAAGGTGGGGGGGGGGGGGGATTTTGGAACCCCAAATCTAGCTACTACTAAAATACCTTGAATTTACCATTATTTTTTGGATCAAATTATGTTTTCATTTTCAGAATTTTAACTCCTTCTAAGTTGCTAAACCCCGTGACTGTGCACAAGTCACACACACACACACACAAACCAGTTTACATCACACATTCACCTCGTGATCAAGCAGCTGCTCCTCAATCTGTGTGGGAGACATTTTTGATGGGCTGCATGCTGGAAATACCGAGACACCTTCACGTTCTCGAAGAACCCGTGTGTTTTTATTCGACATATCTGGAGAATGAAGCACACACACATAGATGGCAGATCTTTTCCCCACTGTTAAGAACGTGTAACCAGAGACACCAAAGCTGAGAATGTCAATGCTTAATCAGTGCTACGGTGCAAAAAAATAAAATAAAGAAAAGGGTATCTTAGAAAGTGAATATCTGACATAGTGACGGTGTGAGTGTTTGCCATTTGCCTTAACAAGAGTGAGGGTATGAAATTACCCAGACGTTCAGAGTGCCTCTCTTTAATTAGACCTGTTTATCTACATGATACAGCAGACCTTCGTTACTTCACCACACAGCCACATCAATCACATGTCGCCAAATCTGGTCTAAGAAAAGATCTTTATTTATAAAAACAACAGTATTACCAGATACATACTTTACTGAAAAAAGCAACTTCTCAGAGCCAAGGCAGGTATGAATGGTACATCATAATTGTACATGGATAGGCAACATTACAAATATACTGTGCGGAGAGTAAAAAAAAAAAGAAAAAAAACAAAGATGATTGGTCTCTTTTGCCTTAAAAACAACTGTAACAGTAAAACTGGGACTAAAAAAGTTAAACAAATTGCATAATGCTCTCAATCCCCGCTCCTTAAATCCTGAAATAAAAACAAACAATCCAGACACAAAGTGAAAAAAATAAAATAAAATAGACAATTATGTGTTTTTGTCCATCTCCCAAATTAAATTACAAGTCAGCATCTGTTAAAACTCGAGTCTGCTCTGAGGATAAAAGCCTGCCATTTTGTAAAGGGTCTATTTATAAAACAGCACACCACAAAGGCCAATAAGAACTACCAGTAGTGTTTATTTAAACTTTAGAGTTAAAGCGGGGATAATCATTTCAAAGAGATAATCCTAAAGTGTTACTTTGTCTAAATAAAAAGCATATAGTAGTTTAAAAGTCTGACAGAGTAGAGCTAGGAATGAAAACTAAAGTGGATGTTAAAGTAGTTTTGTGGTTTAGTAATGGTTTGGTTCCCTGCTTCACCAGTCAGGCCCACATTCAATGTGATCTAATGGGTTAAAGATGCCGAGGCTGTCAGAGCTTACTTTCGGGGGAAGCAGACACAAAGTTGGAAATTAAAGTATCAAACACTAAACAGAGGCAGTCATTACACAAAAACTAAAAAACAAAAACAAGAAAAAAAACCCAATGACAATGCTTTGTCACAGGAGACATAAGTTTAAAAAAAACAACATAAATGCATGAAATTATCAACATGTGGTCTTATAGGTCTGGTCCGTCACTCGCACAAAAACACACTCACTCCAAGGTCCGTATCCATTTATCACACACACACACACAGTCGGCCACAGGTTTACTGTATGACAAATATACACACACCTGCCCTTTCTTGTCTACACCTGTGCTGGTCCCAACCAAGAGAAAATAACTCTAGACAGGAAAATAACTCCTCTATAAACAACATTCTTGCTCTACAGGGCGATCTGTCACTCCGTCCCAACCTCCCAATGATCCCAGTAACGGGACGATTTAAATTAATGAGCCAAAACTAATGCAGTCATCCCATTTTCTTTTTATATACAGTATATACCCTACTTAGAAGTCTACGTACAAATTCGTCGTTAGGATGTGGGTGTTGGCAAAACTTTTTTTTGACCAAAATGATTTAGCCAGAAAAAAAAATAGAATCAAGCAGGATTACAACACCAGTTAAAATGATTGTCAACAAAGATAATAGCCTTTACAGAAGAAGTATAATTTAAAAAACTGAATATATTTCTGTTGCTACAATTGAATGAATTTGTAAAATAGGTGTGTCTGTGTGTCTGTAACTAAGTGGCTGTGTTGCATGACAAGCCTGCAAGACAGCCACTTTCTTTGGATGCCAACCCTCATCTTCTAATCCCATCTGTGTGTTGGTAGAGAAAAAGAGGAAAGGAGGGGAGGGGAGAGGAGGGAAGGGGGGGACAAGGGGGAGAGAGTCTGTGCATCTGGTTCTTCTCTCCTCAGTAGCAGTGGTAAGGCAGGGACGGCCCAGTCTGGGTGATGCACACTATCAGTTTTTCTGGAGAAAAGAGCAAAAGTACTTTATTAAATCAGAGTCAGAGTGTGACAGTGAAAAATAAAATGTAATTATTTACTGAACATTTCACTAAACATGGAGGCAACACAAGGACTTATTATGTGGTATAAGTATGGCACACTGCGCAGTAGGGCTGTCACAATAACCAGACGGACGAGAATACTTCAATACTGAAATAAAAGAAGTCCACTGATTTAATTATATACAGTATAGTTTGTTGCAGTATACTATTTCATCATATTGCCATTTCAATATGTATCATTTTCACTATGTTTACAATCACCTGAACACCTGACTGTTTATCACATGGAGGGCCATATTTAAACATTATATACAGTATGTAAGGGCATCTGGACTTAAATCTACCTTCTGCTAGCTAATGGCTCAAAGAAATCTGGGTGCAAAGTACAGCACTAGGGGCAAAGGGGTTGTATATGCAGCCCTAGATGATATAAATTAAATGCAAATGTTAATTAAAATGTGAGTCAATACATAAAAAAAAAAAAAGAAGTATATTTTGGAGGGAAAATGAAAGAAAAGTGCCAAACAGCAGACAACCTCCTCCAAAGAATACACTGACGATAAATAGAGAAAACCTTGAGCAATGTACAATTCTTGCTATGTAAAACTAAATGTGTCAGTTTGACAGAATCCTTATTTCATGACATGGTAAAACAAAAATACATTCATTTAAACAGTGACTGTAGCCTTGAATAGTACAGCAGTGACCAAGCTGCACATTAAGAGACTTTTTTCACGTGTGTGTGTGTGTGTGTGTGTGTGTGTGTGTGTGTGTGTGTGTGTGTGTGTGTGTGTGTGTGTGTGGAACAAGATAGCACATTTTGAATTAAAATAACTTAAATCAAAGCCATGAAATATATATCAATTTATTATTACGTTTTTTAATAATTTTCATACTGATAAAAGTAACTACATGACAATAAGATTCTGCTTCACAGACAATGAAATCCACCAAAGTGCTTTACTTTGTTTATCATTTTGGCAAATTGTTGTTGTACTGCCTGCACAGCCAGAAGAGGGCACTGAAACACAGATTCTTTACCTATGATAACAGCCATTAAAATGCAGAGTTGTACATTTCAAAACTAAGTACATGTATGAAACACTTCACTATATTCCTGGATACATACAGTTATATACATATAACTATCATGAGATGACAAAAATCAAACCCCCTTCTTCTCTTGATGGTGCGGTGTTGTAGTATTTATGATAATGTTCAAACTTTAGTAAGCATTGTTCTGGTATTGTGACAAATCTGCTGCTTAGACTTTTATTATTCTGAGGATTTGAGCAACTTAGGGTTAGCTCTACACTGACAGACTGCGGGAAACAGCGTACCTTACAGCATACTATACCAGCATGTACTCATGACATCAGGGCATTGTAGGGTTAAATAACAGCACAGAGACCTACACCAGTGTTTTAGTAAACTGAGGGTTTGAAGTTATTAGAGACAAAGGAAAAGAGCTGACTGAGTCCATGCAGGACGAGAGGTCAGTTAGACATACCATGCTGTTACATGCAGAGGGGGGTAGAGGGGAGGGGGAGGGCTAACCATCGTAGGAGTCCAAGAGGGGCAAGGAGCCTTTTCTGCCCCCATACACCCCTCGCTGAGAGACAACCAGAGAGAGAGAGAAAGAGAAAAGGAGTGAGTGGGGAAAAAAGTAAAAAATGTCAGTAAAAGTGAAGTTTGAAAGACTCCCAAAAGAAAGAAACGGTGTAAGTCAGGAAATACTTAAAGTAGTGCAGGAGATAGAGGGTTAGTGTCGTTAATGAGCAACCCAGCATGTGAAAGTGCCTGACACTAATTCAAAGTACCGGTAAAGTGTCTGTGGTTTCATCTAGAGTGTGTCTCCTCTCCCTCTGATCCAGTGTAGAGTAGGCCTCTGAGAAACAAAGATGAAAGAATCAGATAAAGTACAGCCTTCAATCTAAACAGGCTTTAAATTTAATGTCTTAATGGAAAAAAAAAACTAATGTACTAACCAGGGCCAAGGTCGTTTAGTGGAATCATGTCCCTCTTTTCCCCTGTGGTAACACAAAACACCCCGGCTTTAGCTTCATATATAATGAAGTGCACATTTAACAACTATAGTAGGAAAACACAGTGAGATCCATAAATGATCTCATTCTCTGAAAAAGCCATTTAATGAACCAGTCTTTAAGTTTCTAAATGTCGGTTTAAATGCTCTGAAAAGCTCTTTTCTGCAAACCGACCTCTGTCTAGCAATGGCGTGGTGCTGTCTTCATAGGTGCCGTTAACCCGGGTGTTTGGACCGTTGGTGGTGGCGGCGGTGTTGTGGTTTAATGTGACCATGAAGTCAGTCTTCTTCCAGCCGTCCTTCTCAAGAGGCCGACGCAGCTCTTTGTGGGCCCAGACGAGCTGCAGCACCTGGCCGGCCCCCCGCACCTCACGCTCTGAGCGCTTGCTGTAAGACACACACAAGCTTTCACAGTTTACCATGCGTCTCTTTGGTTCACTTATTAGGAGCAGTAATCTTTCAGCTCAGGATGGTTGACAAAAAGAAAGCTTTATTCCACATTAACTAAAGTATTTCAATAATAAATTCAGGTATTTCACACTTTTTAGGTATTCAAATATTTTAATTTCAAATGCCAAAAGTAACTCTATTCACCTTCCGATTATAAAATAAAAACTGTTGTTAATGCAACCCCAGAAACCACATTAAAACAATTATAGTTTAAGTTCACTTTACAGAACTAACATACCCGTCTTTGTTGATGAGCACCAGCCTCTCAATGCCCTGCGACGCTCGAAGGGTCTTTGCTGCCTCCAGACTGTTGCCCAAGACCTCAGCGAGCGTGCTCAGTACAGACACTACTGTCTCCTCTGACAGGGCGCGCCCAGATTGACTCTGGCCTCCAGGTAGGTTGGCCACAAGGTGAGGTACTGCATGCAAACCTGCAGCATACATACAGGGAGGTAACAATATATCAGGAGAGATACAAATCTAGAAGTCCTTCCATGTTGTATTTACAAAAACAGACAAAAAAATATTATCAGGTAAAAGAGAAGAAAACGCTTTTATCTTTGAGAAACATTTCTTGAAGCCTATTTTGATGTCCTTACCAAGCAGTTCACAGTTACGGTTGTCTATGGCGAGGTTCCTCAAAGCTCCAGACATAGCCCGAACCACGCGGTCATTGACATGAGCCAGCAGCTCTGCCATCATTGGAAGACCTTTTCCAGACGCACAGTGGCCCGGATATAGCGACCATACTAAAGACCAAACAGAGAGAGAGAGAGAGAGCACTGAAAATCGTTCTAAACTGAGAGCAGAAAAGATATTGTTGTACTCTATATCAACTAACAACTCTGTAAGTTTATTAAGAATTAGTTCTCACAGTCCATCGGCCAGCACACAGGTTCTGGATGGCACCAGCAGCAGCCTCCAGAACTGAGGGGTTTTTGCTCTCTCTGAGCAGCGAAGTGTAAACACGAACCACCTCTGGCTGGAACAACAGCTCATAGCCTGAAAGAGACATGAGTGAGTTTAACACAGTTTTTCATCTTTACTATAAACATTGTAAGCTAGAAAAATTACTTTCACCTGATGTTTTAAAGTTTTAAACTATGCCTGAACTATTGTATTTGTTTGACTACAGAGAAGCACTAGACTTAAACACATTGTGTCTCATTTAGAGAACTCTTTCAAAAATACAAACATTAAATAAATACTTATTGTCGTTTGCCGACTAGTTTTGTTTTTATTCTTTATTTGACAGAAACTTTCAATAAAAGTATTGGCATGTCCCATACTGACACAAGTCAATTTGATTTTAAGGGACGTGCATACCTTTGGCAGGTGTTGTTCTCTTTGGGATGTCCACCTGGTCTCCGCTTCCATCATCTCCGTCCTTTTTCCCTGCAAGAAATGGATTCAAAAAAGAAAAGCATGTTTGGGCTGAAGAAAAAAAACACAGATTATGTGAAGTTGGATGAGATGAGCAGTCGGCTATCTACGGTCCTCTAAACTGGCACGCACGGTATGAGAAATGCAACGAGTTGAACAAGCACTGTGAACATGCACTGCTGGTCTGCGTGATGTCAGGTGATCATGCTTGTGAGCTGGATGTGAATTCCACAATATCTGACATTCATCTTTCACAAGTTAAGTTTTCTTTCTGCATTAGTAAAATGAGTGATGATGAGAGTGGTCAATGGTTTCAAAAGGCTCACAAGCACAGAGAGAGAGGAATCTTACCTTTGGAAAACCACTCATCTAAACACAGCAGAGAAAGAAGGGGAAGTAAGGGCGAGTAGGAGGAAGAAGGGGGGGGGGGAGGTAAGAAGGATGGAGGAGAGGCAAGAGAAGGTGGTATAGTATGAAAAATAGCTACAGGTGCATCTGCCACCAAGAAGCGTAAACACACAAGCAGCTACCCAAATTTCAACACCAAATCTTCAGTATCTCTGAACTGTATTATCTGTTAAACACTGACCTTTGCCCTTCCGAGAACCAAAGCAGCCACCCTTGTTAGCAGGGACGGGTCCCTGGTTGAGGGGCAGGGCCTCTACGTAACGCTCACAGCCTGGAACTTCGCGGTGAACATGATAAGAGAGATTCCTCAGGAGGCAGACACAGTTCTCCACGAGCTGCGGGGGGAGAGAAAGGATCAGACAACATGATCAAAGATGGAAACAGAGAAAGAAAGAGGAACTGGTAAATATCGAATAGACACAAGATACTTGTCCCCCCAATGAAAAGATAATCGCTCAGTGAGCAAACCCCTCATCCAAATGATGCCCTTATGCCCTCCTGATAAGTTACATAACCTTCCTTATGGCCAGTGCAACTAAAACAGCATTATCATCTTCAACAGACCCAGGCTCCTTTTATGCGAGCTAGCCAGATAGTGACAATTCCGATACTACCTACCCTACTGCATGGCCTGTTCTAGCCCCCACCTCCCAACCATGTAGACTGATGGGCAGCAAGAGTTAGGACATCACTGAGGTTTTGCCCAATTAGTCCCTTGACACCCCACAAAAAATATATATGTATAAAATCAATCTGATACCTTGTTATCCACATCTTTGCGGTTGATCTGTGATTGGACAATATACATGAGTGAATCCACTAATCCTGTGCATTCTCTCAGCTTTCGCCTGGCCTCGCTGCGTTCCGAACTCACATTCCTGTTGGAGAGGGACAAGTCAAGCACATAATTGCATGTGTTTCTTCTCAAAATAACTCCTCTTCTCTGAGCCTTTTCAACTTTTTCCAACATTTTGTCCATTGATCCCTTGCATACCTAAGGCAGCCAGCAGTGTTGGTCAAGGCGGTCTCCCACTCCAGATGGCGTGGTTTGCAGCTCTCCTCTCCTGCTCCGTTGCTCCCTCGCTCCCAGCCAGAGTGCGGGACAACCACCTCGTCAGCCAGGGCGTGCATGGCATGGTCAACAATTTCCATCTTCACCGAGTCATGGGATGAAAGATTCCACAGGGTGCCTGGGAGGATATTAAAAAAAATACTATGTCTATCACTGCAATAAAAGAGACAGGCTTAGCTTTCAAATAGTAAAATATTTTTTGCAGTTTACACAGCTTTACAAAAGATTTGTATGGCCAAACCAAACCAATCATGTGTGTGTTTAAATCCTGAACATAGTGACAAGGCAGCCATTTGGGGATGTAGATACCTGTTATAGTGTCGGTCAGGTCCTGGTCATGGGTTTTTCTCAGTAATCTGACAAGACCGGGGACTCCATCACAGTTCTTGATGGCGATCTTGTTGTCGTGGTCTCGCCCATATGAAATGTTCTTGAGTGCTCCACAGGCCGAGTGGTGCACGTCCTTGCTGGGATGGTCCAGCAGTGACACAAGGGCTGGAATGCCCTTTAAGCGACGCACCTCTGACTTAACCTAGACACACACACACACACAAAATGATCAGGCTCTTCTATAGGATTTGATGAATTTTCATGACACATCAAGATAAAGATTTGTGAAGCCCTGTTCTTCTGCATTTCAATGTGGTCCTTGTCTCACCTTATCATTTTTGAACGTGAGATGCTGCAGGAATGCAGCGGCGTTTGTCTTGACGGGGTCCAGGCGGTAGCTCAACATGGCAATGACCTCCGGTAGCTCCGGCTGTCTCCATGAACCAGGAGGAGCCTTCCTCAGTGTGCTGTCCAGTGACGCCATGCTACCCCTCTCCATCGTCATGGGAACAGCCCAGGCGTACGGGTCAACTCCTCCCATGTCCCCATCTAAAGTATCCTCGCAGCTCCTTCATGTTGGAGGGAGAAATACAGAGGAACTTTCTTAAGATTTGGCTTAAAATAATGAATTTGTTTCTAATTAGTCAGCGAAGAAGATCACTTTGATAAACTGCCCCTATTCATGGCCAAAAAAAAAGAAGGATGTGACAGCACAGATATGCTTTTGTGTTTTACCTGAGTCTTCGTCTGTCCATACCCCCTGGGCCGGGCCCTAAACGGGGCATGGTGCCGTAGCCACCAGGGTGCATGGGTGGAGGCCCCATGCCGTAGTCATCATATCCCACACTACGCTGGTCATCCTCCAGTCCATAGTGACCATGGCCATAACGCATTTCCATTGCTGAGCCCAGGGCTCTCATTCCTCGGCTCACCTGGGGCTGGGCTGCATACGGGTCCAGCTGCTGGCGACTTGGGGCCCTGTAGCCCGAGTCAAGGGTCCTGTAGCCATCCACTGGCCTGGGGAAAGAAGGGAAGTTAGAATTGAGCAGATTTGTTAAAAAGAGATCCAAATTCAAATAAATTGTGCTTCAAATTGTTGGAGGCTTTATTCATGTTTATCACATTGTTTTGATGAAGCAGTAACGGAATCTTACATTGAATAAACTCACGCAAACCAAAAACAAGATTGCTCTTTAAGGTTCACAATTCTTAACATACATGAACAACAGTCACAGAAAAGTGTAAGAGAAAGGAGTGTTGTACCTGTAGCGGTCGTCCATGTGTGAGCCTCTGCTCAAGCTGGTATATGCCTCTGATGGAGGGCCTCCACGGTAATCATCATAACCTGGTACAGGACCATAGGGGTAGTTTCTGGGCACCGTGGCAGTTGGGTAGTCTCCTGCTACAGGCTGCCTGTAAGGACGGTCTAGTGTGGCACTGTAGGGACCCATACCGGACACTGACAACCCCCCATCGATGGACATGGAGTCAGAGGGCAGGACTGTGCGTGTGATTGGTTTCTTCATCTGGATGACAAAGTGACAGATGGGGCTTATTCTCAAAAATATGATAACAAAGAAAGGAAAATAATGTGGTGTGAGATGCTTGGAGGCGTCGCTAAATGTAAGCTCCCATACGACTAAATCAAACCATGCAATCACTACAAAAAATATTATTTACAGTAAAATAATTTAAAAAGAGCTCTTGCAAGATTTTATTTCAATTTGATGATAGCCAGTGCATATGTCATATCACTTACACCATTGTCTTGGCGCCTTGTGGTTCCCTCTTCAGAAAAGACTGAGTGCACTTCCTGGGAGTCGTCCTCTGGTGTGTAGCTCTCATCTAGAGCGCCGTGTGCAGGGTCCACCATTCTGTACTGTAACAGAGACACACCACATGTTTAAAATGGATCAAATCACTGGCACAGTTTACCTCTACCATGATTTGATTTACACACAAACACGTACCTGTGTGCCGTTTATGTATGCGTCAGTTAGTTTCAGTCGTTCTATGTCAGCATCCCCCAAACGCCCGTTCTGAGACGCAAGATAAAGAAACAAATATGAGACATGGCCTGCAAATTCAAAATAAAACTCAACACATACATGGTGTTGTGGCATACTTTGTAGTAGCCAGTGCTGTCTGGTGTCTCACAACCACCCAGATGATATTGCTGCTGCCGAAGCACATTCAGTGCTGACCGAAACCATCCCTGCATGTTTATGGTCTGTGAATCACTGCCAGGCATGAGGGAGGACATTTTGGAGTGCAGCCACTCATACTCACTCCTTACTTCCTCCTGCTTTCTTCTGTTACATAACCAATGACTGTCACACTGACTGCATGACTTGGACACTTTATACCTTCCCCCGAGCAGCACTCACTTGTATGCAATGTAACTGCCTAAGATATCTGAAATAGCCTCAAGCTGACACGTCCTCCCTGAGTAATTGGGCTGATAATGCGGATATTTCTCAGCAACTGTTTTACCACCCAGATTTTCAGTATTTCTCTGATATCATTGACTGCATAAAAAAAGCAATGTTATAAACCTTATAAAGAATCATATCCCACTTCATTTGCAGTATTATGTTCGACTGCACTTTATTTATATGTCCACAGGGAGGCAGCTGTGTTATTTGAGAGCAATAAGAAGGGTAGATTATGATTTCCTGCATTCTCAGTCTTCCTTTAACAACTGCCGCACACTTACCAAATCTTAATGTCACTGCCAAGGTTTTAAAGAGACACAATATCTGATCTAATCTATGTCAGCAAGCTCTCACAGAAAGGAAAATATTTGGGAACAATGTTGGAGTGTAATTTAAACTCAGGGTTATAACAGGTCCTAAAAATGTCACGCCCTGAATACAGCCTGCCTGATATTTAGTGTTTGCTAAGGCCAAAATGATAATGGCTCTACTTTAATTGCTCTTCAAGCCTACAGGCACAGTTTTCCCTTTGATAATGAAGTATTTTGATAGAGACAACAATATAGGATAAGGCATCAGTTAAGGCATTCTCTAAACAGATAACTCAGCTCTAGGAAAAAAGAAGTGTTTAGAAATTTAAACAGGAAATCTGATCCTCAGCTACAAATTTATTTGAAAATGTTCAAGAAAATAAATGGAGGAACTGCTCATATATTGTCTACACAGCAATCCTGCTGCCACTTGCAACATTGCACTAATGATAAATACGGATGTGTTTTAAAGTGACAGCTTAATATGCTATTTATTAATGAATCATTTAGAAATGATCAGCAGCTATTTCAATATTACATGTTGTGATTGGAGTGAACTTTTAAAGCAAAAGCACCAAAAATTATGAGGTAATATTTACTCAAATGTAAAAATGTACTGGATATTAAGGTAGTAAATGTAGCATCAGGGATTCTTGACTGCTTATTAGAAGAAAAGAAAGCTACATGTTTGGAAACTCTGATAGGATTTTCTGTCTTTTTTTTCCACATTTGCAGTACTCTCAAAATGTAGAAAGATAGAGAAAATAATGAACACAGTAATTGAAAACTAAAGCAAAGCGGTTGTTGCAGTGAGGCGGTGTTAAAAATATCGGAAAATGTACAAAATGCAATCGCCAAACTGCTGACACTTTTGCTATACATCACTATCACAGATACATTTAATGCATGATTAAATACAACAGCAGATGATATGAATGATCACTGCATGCAAAGGAATGCTTAGGATGATGAAAGACATCTAAATATTTGATAAACAATGAAATACAAAAAGCAGAAACCAAACTGGATGCAGGACTATGCGACACATGCACAACACATGACCTCATTCACAAACACAACATGCTGCAACTAGAAAGGTAAATAACTGAGATTCCACAGAATGGGCCGTGAAAGGTGTTTGAGTGTCGAATGTATCCGGTGAGTGACAATGAAAGCATGCAGAAATGATGACCATCTCAGGCATGTTCAGAGCAGTGCGAGTATGTGCAGGTGGCAACTGATACGTATGCAGATGAGGGCTGAAAGGTCTCCCAGAGTCAAAGAAGAGAGACATTTAGCGACATTTACACAAACATAAATTGATGTAAACTCGCCAAGCACTGGTGGAGACAAGTTGGGGTTTATGAACGACGGTTGTATGGTGTCAGACGGAGAAATTTTTGAGGATTGGATAGAGGAATGATGACCCATGGATTGGATGTGAATGAGAGATGAGGGCAGGTAACGCCTACAAGAGAGCGTGATCAGGGATGATTGGGTTCATTGGAGGGTGTTACCTGTGTATGAGGGAGGGGGCGACCCAGGGTCGAGGGGCTGGTGGCGGGGAGGCCCACCCACCTCCTCTCCTCCTCCAACGCCCTGGTCAGCTGTTCAAACTGCACCTCCTGCTCCCTGACCGACTCCAGCAGAGCTGCTGCGCTCTCACACTGCTCCATACACACTACACAGCCCCAAGGGGAAAGGGGAGGGCGGTGTTACATACATCCATACAGCCTCATATAGACTACAAAACAGGGAAACCTTGCATACAAAGTACACTATGATCCGGTGGATGCAAGATTTTGGGGGCACTGAGATTTAGTAAAAGGTTTGTTTCAACCCAGGGTCAAAATTATTCAAAAATGGGCGCATATCGAAACCATCGTGAAATGTTTTGATCAGTGTAAAAAGTCTGACAAACAATAAATAATATAATACTAAAGTGAAGCAGAACTACATGAACTATACAATGTGTCCTTGAAATGTCAGAAAAAAAACATGTCAACCTAACAAAAGTCAAATCATATTTTGATTTTCTCTTTTATAAGGAGAAAAATAATGATTCCCCATAAAAGTTAATCAAATGAGAAAAAGCCATATTCATGATTACTATAAAAAAAAATATCCCACATCGTGCAGCCATGTTTGGACTGTTCTGATTAATCTGATTTAGTTCAGTGATTGTGGGTCAGATGTTCTTCTTGGAAAGAGTTGGGCAGTTGGCATTGTACAACGGGGGATTTATTCCTTTGCTCAGTAATGAGAACACAGCAGTCACCACTGTATAGGCATGTCTGTGGTTGAAACTGACATAACCTCTTGCCAAATGAAACCGGGTTTCTGTACAAACATGTGATGGTGTAATAAGCCCTCCTTTGAAGTTTTCCTCCACATCGAGACTTTAAAGGAGACCCACGCTCAAATTCAATTCTGCCTTGAGCACTACCTGACGTTGTTAGCGCTTACAAAACATAAATTACAAGGAGTATGCCATTTCAATTTCTATAAACAGTGAGTGAAATAATAGAACAATTTTTTGATAATTTGGTGGTAGGAACTGCACTAATGCATTTGTCAAAAAAAAAAAAAAAAAACACCATCCCATGTATACAGGCTCATGAAAGTGTGTTTGGGGCTAATTAAAAACAGCGGACAAAGAAAACATTTTTGTATAAAATATGGTATGTGCATCAGCAGCATATTTTTTGTGATACAGTTATTCCAGTTAGGGCAAAAAGCTGAACACAGCATCGCAGAAACCCGATGTCAGAGCTCGAGTCAGAGAAAAATCATACACACCTTCACCTGTGAGCGTGGTTTGGTAGTAGAGGTGAGAGATCACGCCAAGATCAGAGGTTGAGCTCTAGTTGCTCATGGGTAAAAGGTCACAGAACCACCAAGCCCAGAAGAAGGAAGGACTGAACTGCAGAGAGAGAGGGAGAGAGAGAAAGGGAGACGTGGAGGAAAGAAAATAAAGAGAAAGAGAGAGAGGTCTTTTAGAAAGAAGGAAGGCACCTCGGTTTGAAAAACAACAACACAGTGTGAATAGCATACATGTGTGTCAACAGGGTTGTGTTTGCTCTGTGTGCAGAAAAACAGCAAGAGACAGGGACACACAGTAGCCCCGGCCTTTAGACACACCCTATATTAACTCGAGATTTTGGTTTGTGTGCAGTAGTTAGCTGTGGGAAGTGGACCAACCTTCCGCTCTATCTGGGACAGAGAACATGTACTGTCAGCAGAAAGTGAAAGCAGGTTTTAAAGATTGTGTAACATCCATGGAGAAATATATATTCTTCTCATCTTTCCTTCAGCAAATTAGCTATATCTCTTTTCTCCAAGCCTTATTTTTAAATCTTTATCAGTCTTCAGCTACCTCAGGTCTGACTGTCAATCTGCCGCTCTTGTTCTTTCTAACCCTAACCCCCTCAGCACTGGCTTCAAAAGGTGTGTAAGCTCAGGCACAGCCATTAGCCAGCCACCTACACCCACACACCTGCATAACCGGTTGGACAAGATGTAGGAGGGGCTACCAAAGCTCAGTTTCTGAAAGTCTCTCTCTGGCTTGCCAACAAGCACAGACACACTTCTGTGATTGTTAGCTTGCAGCGACTTGTGGATCAAACAGAGACGTGCAGCAGGTGTTTTTGGGCCATGACATGTATAGTGTTAACAAGTGTAAATAAAAAAGAAACGCAGCACAGAAGAAATTAGTTCAAGGGAAGCGATGATGATGAATGACTCACAGCTTTTACCTGCATGAGATTGTGCCAAGAAAGAACGCATAAAAAGCCTACAGACGATGATGTCACCTTTGGACAAACACACCACCACTACTACACACTTCAGCTGGTAAACTGAGGCCAGCAGAGGCGGAGACTGTTTCTGTATGTCTGTCAGACAAATGACTAACACACACATTGGTTAGTGTGCTTGCATAAAAAAAAAAGTCCCTGCTTGGGGTGTGACAGACAGTGTGGGAAAAAAAGCAGGAAAGTGGGATGGCTTGATGAGAAAATGAGGAGTGGCTCAAACATATTTCACAAGACAAAGGAATTCGGAGGAACCAAAACCAGGATTTGCATGGAGGATAAGGCTGACTGACACGAAGACATGATGTCACATGCGCGCACACACACTATCTTCTACTTAGTGACTGTGCCGCCCCCTGAGCCATTGTCTCCCACCTGAGCAAAGCACACCGCTGTCCTGATCCACACATGCCTATATATGGTCATAGCCAGGACAGGGCTGATATTATCCACCACAGACAGACAGAGACGGCAGAGCAGGAGCTGCAAACAAATAAAACTGTCTTTCAGGGGAGTGTGAGAGTAAACTGGAGCAACAGCAGCGAGGTCGTGAGACAGAGGGATGTGCTTAAAACAAGATAAAAAGTCTTGCATTCCTTTCATTGTCTCATGTCAATTCAGTTCAGCAGCCCACCCACTCATCCTCTGTGTATGACCTTAACATGACACTATAGAGATCTGTGTTTACTGTACCAACATAGCAGTATATGGCAAGATAAGTGGACTAAAATACCCAAACAAAGCAACAAAAAAAAAAAATGTTATCAAATCTCTCCCCTTCTGGCAAATTTCCCTTTTAATTAGCCGCATCTAAACACTGGCTCAGTTCTCATCTTATCTCAGTTTAACATGTGATGTTATTCCACTAATGAGTGCAACTGTCATTCATACAAGAAAAATGATGAACTGTGATTGATATTTCTTGGCAAATGTACTTGAGAATGTTATTCTAAGACCAAGTGTGTGAGTGTGTGTGTGTGTGTCTGTAAACCACAGCCAGACGAGGAAATTTGCAGCTGTCAGTCCGGGGGGTTGGTGGAACAAAAAGAAGTTTGTGTAAGCATGTATGAGGAACGCAAGTGTGAGAAGCGCAGGGGAGCGAGGGCATTACTGGACAAATCTGTGTGTCATCTGTGTTACTTATGTTTCTGTCATGGAAAGCCACTCTTGACCTCTGTCCTCCACCCGTCTGCCTCTTTCACAGCTGTGAGTTTTGGCCTTGTACTCTGTAGTGAGTTTCGTTGAACAATGAAAACAATCAGTGCAGGTCTGTTGCCACTCCCCTCCCCTTTCCCCTGTAACCACATCCGGAGAAACAGGATGTTGTGGATTTGACATCGAAGGAGTTAAAAGGGACGCTGTGGCTACTCAAGCGCACCAAAAGAAGAACATTTTCCTGCACACAAAACCACTAAAGCCTGTAAGACATCTACTTTAGAAAACACCAAGCTGATAATGGACGGTTCCTCCTTTTTGCGGTGAACATCCCCCATAGTCGATAACCTGATCACACGGCCACATACAGCTTCCCCCTTTGCTAACATTGTTCTACATGTCCAGTTTTCTGTTCTGCTTTCATGACCTTTTAAAAGCTACAATTGTCAATCTACATTCATCATATTTCTCTGTTTATTGTGAGTAACAATATCTTGTAACTATATGTTGCCAATTACTCCTCATATTCTAACCTGAAACACTTGGTTTTACGACTTTTGTGATGATATTTTTGGGGATTTTACAAAAAAAAAAAAAAAAACTAACAGACAATTATTTTTGGCTCTGGAGAATTTATATTGAGCTATATTTTCTCTTACATTAAATCAAGACTACAGTTTATACACATTTGTCAATAATAAAATGGACCTTTTTTTTTTTTTAAAGTCAGACTTTTACCCCCGAACAAGAAGCAAAAAAGAAGAAGCAGCACAGGATCAACTTAATGTTCTCTAAATGTTAAAGAACACAAATGTCCTTCAAAATCCTAACTGGCAGCAAATCACAACGTTTTAAAATCTAGTGAGGGACAAAGAGAAATTGTCCAGAACACTGCTGAAACAAATGCAGAGCATAGGGCACTGAGGTCAACATCATACACACTCACTCCTCAAACATCTGATTGAGCCCTGACTGACCACGAGTCACATATCTTTATCTGATTCTGCAGCCATCAGTCAGCATGAGCAACTCAGCCATGTCAGAGGACATCTGTAACACCCACATGTAAACAACAGAACAACCTTTGTCTACTTCATGAAACTCTGGCTAATTCAATAAGCCCCTACACCTGCCGTGGACAGCTACAAACCCACACTGAAACAACCCCTTCTCTGTGAAAATGCACACCTGTCCGCACATCTTGCAGTAACCTGCGCTGCTAGTTTGCTAATAAGTTTGTCGGTGTGATTCCACAAGTGCTTGTTTAAGCTGAATGTGGCTTGTAAATGGGATTGGAGCTTTAGGCTTCTAATCCACTTACCTCCTAACGCATACACACAACATGTTAACACGCACGCACAGATACACACACACACAAACACGGGCTAGACCCCTTTGAGGATTAACCTAGACACTTCAAGAGAGCAGACACAATCGCAGCTGGTTCTGGGGCACGGATCAACAATCACTTGGCAAGAAAAGGTTGATACATGGGTGTTCACTATCGCATAAGGGGTTATTAGTGGTGGCACCTGCAGCGCTGACCCCATCACTTATACTGTACAAACACAAACCAGGATACTCTTCCAAGCCCACGGGCGAGATGCTTACCTCCACAGCAATGTGTGTCTGCAGTGACCCAGTGTTTACAAGGGAAGAGCTGGTTGACTTGTTCACATTCAGGCTGACAGTTATCCCCACCCAGGTGTTTCCCTACCTAAACAAGTTCACGCAGGACCCACCTAACAGGTTCACGAGCTGGCAGACGCATGAGCCAAGTCGGTTTGATTGGACTACAGGTTGAAGACCACCACCCTTTAAAAACAGACTCGACTTTTTAAGGATGTAAGGAAATCATGAGGATGCAATCTACAGAGAGATTATTTACTCTAAACAGCAATGTTGAGCACATTTTGACCAGCTTTACTGCGCATGTCAAGAGAACCAAACCCGGTTCTCTTCAGGGGTCTTCATCAGCCTGAATCTCACACTTTAGTTTACAGTCTCTGATGAAACCTCTACGACTCTCAGTGAACTGGTTGTCTAGCATGAATTGATTTTTGCTAACGTAATATCGCGAAAGTAGGACAGGGGCAAGTCGAGCTGGCAGCATTTGGCCAAACACGCAGGCAGAAACAAAAAAAAAAACCACACACACACACACGGGTCTGAAATGACTCTCACGAACAAAGACTTCGTGTATTTCAGCACTGAGTTGCTCGCTGTTTGTTTTGTGCCAACACTAACTGTCCACATAAATGAACATAATAAATGCTGGAGATAAAAAAAAAAAAAAAAGCAGCCCAGGCTTTGCCGGGCCGTGCTCGCTCAGCAAACCCGTGTGACCTGGTTTGGCTGTCCTGCTACGTTAGCATCACAATAACCCAACATAGCGAGCCGTGAGGGGCTAGCGTTAGCATAGCTCAAACAGATTAGCCTACTAGAGCTGAAGCTTCATGTACGGGACATTTTTTTTTTTTTTTTTAGACGGAATTCCTAGTTTTGGAAATCACTATCGTGGGTTAAAACTGCGTCAGGTTATAATCATGTGCTTATTAGGACAACAAAACCGAGAGACCTTGTGTAATACAATTCTCGTTTTGCATCGCTAGGTAGCATTAGCCTAACAGAGTCGTGTTGCTGATCTTGATGTGACCACTCCTTTGCCAACGCTGCAGTGTATCCTCTATCTATCCCGCTTTATCGACACTATGGTAACATTTACGAGTTCACTTACCTTGCTCGTTGAAATGCTGCCCTGTGCCCCCCCTTCAAGACTATTCCTGCTATAAGTGGGTTTTTTTTTCTCTCCCCTCTTTTCCCCTCCTTCCCTTTTGGGTTCTGGGCTTCTGGGTCAAGCTTGTTAAAGACGAAGCGACATCACCGAGATTTCTATCAAAGAGAGGGCGGGATCAACAAGCGGGATTACCGTAAAGACGGCGCACACCGAATTCCTCTTTTCTTACAGGTGTTTTTTTTTTTTAAGTGTTTCTACACACACCGACAATTTATTAGACTGGGGTTAAAATTGTTGTATTTTTTGACAAGATGAAACAAGCAACTAAAAATGATGAAACCTAGGATTTTAGTAGAAGGGCCTTTACTGCACATTGCACAAGTTTACTTTTTCTTTAAATTTTATTTTATTTTATTTACCATTTTGTACCTTTTGCACAATTTAGAATGTATTACTGTAAATATTATTCATCTTATTTTACCTTATTTTATTTTATCTATTTTACCTTATCTTATTTTATTTTATTTATTTTACCTTATCTTATTTTACCTTATTCTATTTGATCCATTTTTTTTTTATTTTACCTTATCTTATTTTATTTTATGTATTTTACCTTATTTTATTTTATCTATTTTACCTTTTCTTATTTTACCTTATTCTGGTTGTATTGCACCGCGGGACGGAGACAAACGCAATTTCGATTCCACTGTATGTCTGGCATATTTTGAAACTGACAATAAAGTGGACTTTGACTTTTCTGACTTTGACTTAAGGGGGATTTCAAAATATGTTACAGTACGCTAGAGTCAATAGGACACCTCCCACCGCCTCTCTCCTCCCATTTATTTCCGACTGTCGCCCCCCCCCCCTTTCCCTCACTTAAAGTACACACACACACTGATGTCATTTCATTGATTGCCCAAGAACAATAGACTAAGAGGAAGCAGCTTTTCTTGTGGAAGTAATACATTCCGAGCCAACACGACAAAACTATTGGCACATAAAAACCACAACCAATGCCCTTTTAGATATTACACGTGCCTAGGAGGATGATGGTAATCACATGATTTATGAATCATGCTTGATTTGAAACTAAAGGATCATAACTGCATGGCTGTAACTTACACACGTCATAGCCTACCTTATATTTTCTGCTCAGCGTTTATCGCTACTGTAGCCTAGGCCTACTTTAAATCTCGGTTAGTAATCGGGCCTATTTGATACGTTTCTGACTTTAAGAACTTCAAAAGAAAAAATCAAAACCTCGAGTAACCTAAAACCTTGATAACCAACTGCGGGCAGGATGGAAAGAGGAACAATGTAAGGAATTTCCCCCTGTTTCCGTATGAGTCTCCCCCCCAGCAGCACCTTGAGCAATCCAGAGCCACAGCAATCTGAGGGAACAAAAACAACACTGCACTCTAGAGGAGCAAAATGACACTTATCAGACAGGGACATTGTAAAACCAAAACATGAAACAATGTTTATTTATCATTTCCTGTCAACAAAAACGAACAGCATTCACACTTACATCATTGCTCTCTTGAAATCTATCCTGGAGGTACAAAGAGAAGGAGAGAGCTATAAAAGAGGCAGCGGTAGAGGTAGTTTGCTTTCAAATGGGACAAGCACACGTACACATAAATAGAGAACATGTGAATGGCAGTAAGCCCAAATTTTAAGACCCCTCCAAAAATAAAATGTTCAGAGTGATAAATAGAAGCTATGTCAGTTAATCTTGTTTTTTTGCAATCTGTGTGATATGAGAAAACCATTATTGATCAGATACTGAATGTTTTTATTTATTTATTTAAAAAACACCTCATATACTGTATATATGTAGAAAAAGGAGGATATCAGGTGCTCACGTTGGCATTGAGGTAGACTCCAGGTGAAAGCCATGTGCTCTAGAAGGCAGGAAGATTAACAATTAAACTTAAGCGAGGAATAATTTACCTTCAATACATTAGGACATTTATCACTGAAAATCCTATAGAGCATGAGAAAGACATTGAAAGTTGGAGATATAAGAGGACCTAACCTTCCACTGCGTCTTGACACTTCTACCACGGCGTCTGTCTTGTTTGTCTGCCTAGCATTGAGCTAAAGTATGATATCCAGAGCTAATTGAGGTAGAAGAAAAATAAAGTATTTACAAGATTAAATTCAAATACAGTTGCAATTAATGGAGGATAACAACATCTGTAAGTTAGTTTGCTTTAAAAAATAAACTCTCTAGCAGTCAAACAGGCACAGAAAAAAATTAAAAGGGGATTTTCAGTTTTCCTTTTTGCTGTGTCACCTATTTTTTTAAAGGCATTTAAGTCTCATCACTTTTAACAGAGATGATGGTCTGAACGACAACATTGTTTCTTTAACTGGAAAGATGTCAATATTTAAAGGGCCCATATTATGCTTTTTCTGGTTTTATATGCTCTTTAGTGTATTTTCCAAGTGTCCTGTGCATGTTTAGGCACATCTATTTGCAAAAATTCAAAGTCTGCGGAAACGCAGCTTCTCCTACGTCCTCCTGTTAGCTGTAGCATTAGCTGCATGTAACGCTCGGTTCTAGCCCCCCTCGAAAAAAAATGTGCCAGTGTGATGTCTTGTCAGTGTGATATCACTGATCTAAGCCCATTGGCTCGTTGTGGCAAGCCCTGCAGCTCATGTTGCACGCCCGCTAACTTCTGTAGCACGCCCACGATATGCCGTAGCCTGCGGTAGCACAGTAGTGCTAAGGTACTAATGTTTTTGCTCCCCGGCCCTCGGAGCCAGAGTGGCTGAGTGGCTGACCAATTATGGCAGAGCCGACAGGCCGACCAATCAGATCAGACTTGGCACACGTGGGGACTCTGAACGTGGGCACTTTTTTGAACTTTAGCTATTGTGAACATACTTCAGTAGGTACATAGATTAAATGTACGAACCCCCAAAAGGGCAGAATATGACCTCTTTAATTTTTAGTAACTGTCTTAGGTGATTATATAACATATGTCAACTTTTGACCTTTGGAAAAAGAAATCAAATAAAAAAGGGCAAGATCACATCTTTCAAGAAAAAAACTCTGTGGTACAGGTGTCAGTGATATAACATGCTAAAACATTGTTCTCTCATCATTAGAGTGCTCCATTTGGGATGTGTAGGCTCATGTGCCTGCGCAGGTTGCTGGGGTTGTTGAAGCTTGCGGTGCAATGATTGCAGGTGTATGGTTTCTCTCCAGAGTGAGTTCTCAGGTGGATCTTGAGGCTACCGTTCTGTGTGAAGCGTTTCCCACACTGTGTACACGCATATGGCTTCTCCCCGGTATGAATGCGCATGTGGATGCCCAGTGTAGTCTTGTTGACGAAGGACTTGCCACAGAATGAACATAAAACAGGGGACTCCCCTGTGTGACTTGCCCGGTGTACAATTAGGTCTTCGCGGCTGAGGAAACGCTCCCCACAGAAGCTACAGTCCATGGATTTGTTAACAGTTTGAGGGAAGACATTCTGCAGCTGGGGGAACTGGCTGATATGACTGGGTGGCCCCGCATGACTATCAGGTTCTAAAAATATTGTTTTCATTGCAGGATTCAATGCTGCTGAAGTCACCTGGGTGGAATTGTCCTTTTCCAGCTGGCTGTTTCTTGCCACTACAACGCTGTTATTCTGCATCCCTCTGATCGAGGGTCCATCATTGGATCCCAAAGTGAAATCCACAAAACTATCATGAGGGATGCTGTGTTCTGGAGACAGAGAGCTAAAAGCCTGGAGTTGAGTGACGTTAAAGAGGCTGCTCTCCTCCTGCAGAGGCCCCTCCCCTCGTCCATGAACACTTACGATTCTCAGCTCCACATTATTTTCTGTTAAGCAGGAAGAACCCGCAGGCTCTACATTCACAGTGGCAATACCACTCTGCTTACTTTGGTTTCCAAAGTGGTCCTGACCTAAAAAGACAAAAGACAAAGACATCATAAACCAGGAAAAAAAATATGGCTTTGATTTACGATTTACAAAACATTTGGTAGAAAAAGTAAATACTTTGTTGATAATGAATCACAGCAAAGTATCTTTATGACAGTATGTTCTGACAACAGTAAACATAAAGGAGTACAGGTGTCAGTGGCAAGGCCTTTTTTCTGAATAGAAGACAAAAATTGTGCTGTTGTAAAAGCTACTTTCTGGACTATCGACAAGTTGCTAGGTGACAGAAACGATAGTCTGCAAAGTAGCTAGGTAAAGTAGATTCTGCCATAGCACAATGTATCTGTCCACTATTAAGAAGCAGTGTCCACCGCATCCTATTTGAAAGCCCCATTAGACAGTACAAGAATTCAAAAGAAAAGCCTAACTATTTTTTATTTTAAATGTGAAATAATGGAATTTTTAAACATGGAATAATAAATGTGATTAATCGCAACTAAATATTCAAATTTAGCGATTAATCAGGATTTAAAAATGAAATCATTTGACAGCCTCTTTTTTGTGTTGAAAGGTTTGCATAGGTAGAGTAATTGCCTTTCAACCGAAAGGTTCAGGGTTCAATCCCCAGCTGAGCAACATAGCCGATGTATTCTTGGGCACTTAACCCTGCATTGCTCCCACTGCTTCGGTGGCGGTGTATGAATGGATTAGAGTTGTACTTACTCTCTGATGTACGTCGCTTTGGATAAAAGCGTCTGCTAAGTGAATTGTATTGTATGACAGATAGCCTCCTCACCTTGAACCTGCTCACATTCTCCAAAGTCGTCCTCATCTTTGATTAGGATGACATCTGGGTTCTCCACATCTGCACACTAACAAAGTATGAAAACACATAACTGAGCAAACACAGTTTCAAAGGGAACTTTAAGTGACTGAAAGTACATGTACAGGCAAGCTGTAGTTACCTCTAATCGAGAGGCAGCAGAGGAAGTCTTCTCCTTTGATTGTAGAGAAATAGAAACAACTTCCTCAACAGTCTTCTGAACCACTGGTGATTTGGTGAGAAGTAGAGGAAAGGAAAACATTTTTTTTTTTTTTACAACTGCTGATGGCAAAAGGGCGTATGTGTCAGACGGTGCGGACTAAATTAGCCGTCTCCTAAATATACTGAACAAGTGTGAACCAAATGCATATTAAAAATCATATATAGAAATATGTACATCAGTACAGCTTCTTTAAGTCTGAGCTGAAATTCTGCAATGCCATAAACCCAAATATGTTAATTATATAAACAAAATTCAGCAAATCTTCTCATTTCTTGTCTGGGTCCAGTTAACAGGTACTTCTTACTATAGTTGATACTATATCTATGAATTGTACTTTGGGCCAGTAATACATTTTTCTTAACCTTTATTTTCTACTAAATGTAGGACAAGTCATTTATGTAGAGTTATATATGGTTGTTGTTGTTTTTTTAAAATACATTTAACTGAAACATGAATACAAATGAGTCAGAAATGACTTTGAAGTGTAACTATTTTCAGATTCAGACTCTTTATTGTCCCACTGGGGGAAACTTCATTTGCAGCAGCGGCACACGGCAAAAGAATCCGTAAAAAATACAAATTAAAAGATATTTCTTCAACTTAAGACGAATATAATATGCATTACAATATACAACCTTTACGTGAATATAGTGTTTAACTAGTAGCCTAGTTAGTAACATTTAATTATAGATTATCCTGATAATTGTTTTAACAAATAGCTACAGGCGAAACGCGTTGTTATGCTCATACCTTTATGGTACGAGGGTAAAACCTAATATTTACAGTCTACGGGTAGAACCAGAGCCTTATAATTTAAATATCATTTTATAGGTTTTTGGGTAAACACAAGAAATACGTGACGTATGTGTCACGTGGTAAGGAAAAGCGGTTTATTGTTTGAACCAATCAGCTTCGACAAGAAAACATAAAAAAAAGGATCTTTTTAAATGAAGACATAACGCAACTGATTGGTGTCTGATTGAAAAGTCCGACATTGTTCAGTAACCTGCGTCGCTACCTGCGTGAGAATGACCCTTTAAAAGTTACGAGCGCTCGTCACCTTGCGGTTTAGTCCGTGGTTTAGGGACATTTCCTTTCGAGGAAAATCGGCTGGGCGGTCGTTGCGTCCTGGTCTGCAGCCGGAGGGAGAAAAGTTCACTCCTCATCACCTTCATCCTCATCCTCAGGGCTTCGTTTTCCTTCAGGCTCTGGCTCAGATGGAGCCGGATGGTCGCCGAGTTCTCCGAGAACATCTGACTGATTTCCGTCACCGCAGCCTTTACCAGCACGTCCATTATGGACAAAAGCTGGGACTCGAGGTTTAAGCTGCACGACGGCATACCTGCAGACATTTTCCACTCAGCTGCCGCCCTGAATTATGTCAGAAAAGGCGCGACTAATTCGCAGGGTTAGCTTGTAAAAGTGACAACACAATGGCCTTTCCGGTAGCATGACGCTTGTTACCGTAAGTCAGAGAAAGCATGCGCAGGTTGGCCGGATATTTACCTGGTTCCCCTTTTTTTCTGCTCAGACACTTAAAACCATAGACTGGGTTTGGTTAAAAGTAATATGAATAAGGTTTTCAGGATCAGGCGTAGTACTTAACCCACCTTCATTACATTATTAATTAATTAATTATCACCATCAACCTTCATTTAAGTTGTCGGAGAGATCATTGAGGGCGTCCCTCATTTACTATGATGCTGGGAATACATAGGGCCTACATAAATGACAAAGAAAATGAGTTAAAGCAAAAACAGGAAATAAAGTCAAGAGAGCAATAATGTAGTTTAATACAATTAAAAGTGATTAATAAAGCTTATGACCAAATAAAAGCTTTAAAGAACTAAACCTGTGTATTACACCCTGAGCATCCAGAGTGAGTCCTTAGCTGAAAGATTTCCAAAGGAAGCAACAAAGAAATTAGAAATAAGTATGCCAGTAAGTTAGAGAAAAATTAAGTCCAAAGCATAACAAAAAAAAAAGAAAACATGGCAGGAGGATTGGAACAAGGAAAGTCAAGGTAGGTATTTTTACAATATCCAAAAGTTGGAGAAATTAAAGAAATAAACAGGAAGGGGTGCCGATGGCCTAGTGGTTAGTTTGTGGCAGGCAGCCACGAAGTCATTTAAGTCATTTGTTTTGATTTTATTGGGGAAAAGAGTTATTCATAATAAGGGGGCGGCTGATCTGACTGATGAGCAGGCTTGTTTTAGCTGTTTGTCAGGAGGCTTAAGGCCCATTTCAGCTCCAGCTATTTGCCTGTTACCAGGTTGACATCGCCTTCAATGGGCTTAAAATTTCCACATTAGAAACCAATTGGTTATGCCACTGAGAGTCCATCCATGTTTAGTACAGTTTATGGCTCAGCATCCACCTCCTGCCTCAGTACAGACCAGTTTTAGCAGTCAACAATGCACGGCCCAGCTCTAACCTAAAAATTGTGCTGTACTTTCTAATCTTAATGACCATTAGCAGAAGCCTTTACAAAAACATCTTCATTTCCTCATCAAAATGACCTCCAGTAGGCTGCTTGCATGAAGGTGACATGAGGACCCAATGTCCTCTAGTGGGACCTTTGCTCACAGCCCAGCACTGTGTAGATTGACATGGCATTCGCCAGGGAACACCAAAATTGGGAGGTTTGGCATTGGCGCCTCATTCTCTTTACTGATGAGAGCCAGCAGCTTTACACTGAGAACATATGACAGCTGTAAAAGTCTGGAGACTCAGTGACTCAATGCAACAGGCATTATTTTCGCAGGGGGTCAGCGATGGTCTGGGTAGGCATATCTTTGGAGGGTCACACAGACCTCCATGCCATAGCCAATGGAGCCCTAACTAAAGTAAATCCAACTGAACAACTATGGGACATTATGAATCTGTGCATCCGACGATGCCAAGTACTGATGCTCTGATCCAGGTAGATCCCCAAGGACAACATCCGCCAACTCATCAGGAGCATGCCCAGATATTGTTGGGGGTGCATACAGGCACGCAGGGGTCCGCACACGCTACTGACTCACATTATGAGTTGCTGTGATAAAATCCTCGCAATTTGGATCAGCCTTATTAATTATGTATCATGTTTTTAGGGCAACCTATGTCTTTAAGACCTCAGATCATCTGTTAAACCACAATAAATGTTTTATTTCTGGAAGACTCAACAAAAAATTGGATGCTTATTTTTGCCCCCAAAAAAATCATTTAATATTTAGAGTGCTTAAAAATACAATTCTACTTTTGAAAAATACAATTCATCTTATTCTCATGATTCATCTTTGCTAATCATCATTTTTCCCATCAACAAAAAGGTGTTCTTGCACAAAACAACGTTCCGATACAAATATATTATTCAATTACCTTTTCTTTAAATACACAGCAAATAGAAGAACAGATCAATTCTGCTTCATATGCTAAACACTTAAACAGAAATTTAAAAAAAACACAGAGTGAACTTTCAAACATAACTTATACAATATGTTACCAACTTCTGATTCAACCTAATGTCCCTCTTTATTTGGACTGCAGTCCAACACCAAACTTAAGATTCATTTGAGGACATCAACTATCAGAAATATTTTGTTTTTTTCAGTCTTCATCTGTTCTTTGGGTATTTCTTTTAAGGAGTATGCCTACATTAACACAGCTTCTCTCTCCGTCTCATAATTGTTGTGTTCATTATCGTCCTCTACAGTCCCCTCTATCTCAGTAACCTCCCTCTGTGTCTCCTCCTGGCTCTCCATCGTCCCGTTCTCAGCAGACTCTTCCTCTTCCTTCTCTGGTGACTCCGCCCCAGCTGCATCTTCTCCTTTCTCATCTTTGACCCCCTCTTTGCTTTCCTTTTCCTTTTCCTTGTCTTTCCTCTCTTTCTCTATTTTGGAGAGGCTGTGGCAGAGAGACTGGACGTATGTGAACACACACATGGGGTCTGGGTTTTTCCCCATCATAATCATGTCCTCCACTTCCAACAGAGGGCAGCAGTCGGCCAGGGACCTGCCACAGAGGTAATATGGGGACAGGAAAAAGATCCATGATGAGACAAAGCAGTGACACTGACCACACAGTCTGAGTCTTACTGATTTGGTTTTCAGTCCACTTAACGTGCAAAGCAGAAATCAACAAACAAACACTGAGTCAAATCTATAGTGCAACAACCTCTTTAACATTTTTTTTCAATCTTAACAAAAAGTGCATTAAGGGCTAGACCAACAAAGTCAATTTAATCACCACATTCCCTTTAGAATTGAAAAAATAGATGCACACATTTGTTTCTTTAATGTGCAATAAGCACCCATGACCCTTTTATGATTTTCTTTGTGAACTTGGCCACATTACCATTCAAATCCTTGTCATAGCGAGGTAAATAGTATTAATATACAATATTAAGTATAGAGTATGCGAGTTGTGCAAATGAACCATAACAATAACATTCAAGGTTAAAAAATGAACTCACTATAAATCTGAGCAAATCACGTGGAGCTGCAAATTCTTTGCAGGTACATAACTTAAAGAGACTACCTTCACATTGTCATTTGATACACTGTTACTTTTAAAACACTTAGTATAGTATAACTACTTTTACCCAGCACAGCTTAGCACTTAAAGAATCACTTTTCTTTGCTCCTATGTCAGGAACCTTTTATTGCATTGGTATATGTGCATGCAAGAACCTTCATATTTCCTGTAGCTTTATTCTCTTATTACTAATAATTTACTCTTACACTGCCTTTCTTAATTGCATTTCCCCCCCTGTGGAACAATAAAGATCTTAAGTTAATCAAGGAAAAAGATGAAAGTTAAAAAATGTAATCCTCCATACTCAGCAGTTTGAAAAGCCAAAGTGAAGTTTTTCTTCCTCTCTTTCGGGTTCAGGGAGCTGAAGTCAAAAGCATCAGGAAAGAAACGATGGATCAGAGCACAGAATGCAAGTCCATCACACCAGGACGATGAGAAGTTTTCTATGTTGACTCCCTGAAAGGCCAAAGGACAGAAGATGTCACGAGAAAGAAATGACAAAGCAAAGCACATGCAAACAAAGGGGGATTTTTAAAAATGTCAGTTCTCTTTAATTCTGTTGTTCATTTTGTAATCACCTCATAGTTGCGAGTCTTGCTACGGCACCACTGAAGCATCTTCTGTTTGATTGAAGCTCCTGTAGCGCCAGCCGTTGATGACCTCTGGATTTTAAAGTTGCGCGGTATTGGTGTCCTAAAATGTCACAACATTGCACCGTTTTTCACGCTTTATCAGATCTTATTTATCATCACTATTTAAAGATTTTAAATATGCTAGGTAACACACACTTACTCTGGAGCACCCTGTTGGAACTTGGCAATAAGGTCGTTTTTAGCGGCTGCTCTTATAGAGCGTGCAGATTGTCTTGGTCTTGAGAGAGAAGAAGAGGGAGGACCACTTTTTCTTGTTGGCTTCCCTTGTTTTTCGATCTCCTTAATATGTCCTTTGTCTTTTGTTTCCACATCCTTGACTTGTTTTTTCTTCTCTTCCCCTTTTGCAGCTTTCTCATCTGCATCTTTTTTTGTGTCTATAGCCTTTTCCTCTGCTTGACTCTTCTTTTCTTCTTTGTTTTCGTCCTTCATCTCCTCTGCATCTCTCTCAGTCTCAAGACTTGTCACCTCTTCCACCTGCCCATCTTCCTTGTCTTCCTTAGTCTCCCCCTCTCTGTCTTTTTCTGTACTCGTCGCTTCAAGATCCTTCATGTCTTTATCTTGGCCAGCCTCTTCATTGTCACCTTCAGCCTGCTGTGACACAGTTATCTGGGGCTTGTCTGTATCACCAGCCTCCTCTTCTTTTTTATCTGTTTCTGAGTCCCTGTCAACCATTCCCTCCCCACTGTCCACCGTCTCTTCTGCTGCAAGCTCTCTCCCTGGGTCTTTACCCACCTCCAGCTCTGGATCATCTGTCTAGAGGACAAGCATATACGTTTGTGTATGTATCAAATCCATTCGCAAAGACTGCAAACATATTGCAAAGCATTTTTGTGTGATTCTACAAAAAAAAAATTGTTGACAGGCCACTCACAATTACACAACTATTTCTTACTTCTACATCTGCTAACAAATATGTCAATATGCATCTTTGCCCTTTTCTTAATTTCAAACTGCACTTCTATATACCAGTTTAACCAAATAATGTTTTAATTGTGAAATGGAAATTCTACATTTGGTAACATGATAACAACTTAACCATTTCAACAATGGCAACCGCGTCACTTCATCAGTAGAGGAAAAGTACAACATGGTCAGAGTTTTTACCTTTTCCAATTTTTTTCCCCCATTTGACTAAATGTTCAATATCTTTATTTAATTTGACTAGACATAGGGAGAGATCACCTCTCCACCAGACATCATCAGAGTTTTGCACTTCCCTATATGTATTTTGGCATCAGAAGCATTGGATGTATCCCATTTGCTTACCATTCAATATTTATTAATATTTTTCTTCACAGACCAAGAGAAGCTCCCTAGCACCTCTGCTCTCATCAATGTGTTGCATGCAATTTAAAGGGAAGCACAGTCATAGCTTTAAAACAATGTAAAACCTGTTCGCTTACTTTTAAATTCTATGAATGAATATTAATTATATGATCCTCACGAGTAAGAGCCTATTAGCGACTGTTGTTATCATGCATCTGTCACTGCAGAGATACATTCAAGTTTCAGATTAATCTACAAAATCACTATAAGGATTCGACTTATCAGTCAACAGACTTCTTTGATTCATTTAGAACATCATTTCTTTTTGTAACACATGATTATGTAAGATGTACTAAAATTAGCTCTCACTCTAAGGATGACATGGTCCCTGGAAGTAATGAGAGGAGTGTAACATGAGAACTCCAGCTCTATGGGATTTGTGAAGTATCTCAATCATTTGAATTCTAGCTTCAGATGGAAAAATTGCCTCTTTTAGTTTTAAATTCATATCCTACCCTAAATAATAGGCAATTTCAAAATGCTCTTTAATGCCTTGACTTGTGTAAAAAAGAACTCTCTGCATTTAAATAGCATAAAAATTTATTTATTTTCCCACTAGTAATTAATCTAAGAGAAAAATTGTCATCATAAGATTAGATAAAATTAGATAGTTCTTTATCGATCCTCAGATCCTTGTTTACTTTACACTCAAACCTCTTATTTGAAATATTACTTAAATCAGTGATTTCAGATCTCATTTTGACAAATACAACACTATATCTTTTATTTTAAAGAATAATCTATCCATAATTGAGCAAATTCTTGTAAAATATTAGCGTTCCGAACTGCTGCAGAAACAGTCACATCAGGTCAGGTGTTACAGCTGTGACTCATCAGAGCGAATAGGAAACTCACTGACAGTGTATGTTTGTATGCATGCATGAGCATAACTTTGGATAACTTTTATGTGTCTCTATGTGTCATGTTCTTCAGCCAGCAGCACAACAGGTGTAGCAAAGCCTCTCCTTCCGTGCTGTCCAAATACAACACCTGCCATGATCGCAAATACACTCAATGCCACCTTGTAACGATTATAGAACCAGTTATCCTAAGATTACCTAATGGAGTATTTTTTTCTGTAATAAAAAATATAAATGTTTAAACACAAACCTGGTTGTTGTTGTTATTGGTGTCAGTCTGAGTATTTATCTCTGTGGACCCAGATGGCTCCTGGCTTGACAATTCTCCATCCATGTCCTGAAATCTTTGTTAATCCACTGGATCGAGATGGAAATCAGCCTATTAAAGTAAATAGTGATCCAGGTCTTTAAATTGATCTCTTCTACCTTCCCTATACAGGTTTCCTCAGTCAAAAAGGAGATTGTCTTCACAAGAGCCTTGCGTAGTGTCTTACTCTTTTCTTGCTTCTAACACTATGTTGTCTCTTGTCCCTGTCTCCCTGTCTGCCCATCTGAGATGTGTGTGTTGGTTTGTGGATATCTGCCTTCACCCCTGTTCACCCAACACCCCCACCCTCTGCTTTGTGAGGATTCCTATGCTTCTTTATCTGACCTTTCTAACAACACATGCTCCTGAAATAGACTCACAGTGACATAGGCACAGTCCAACAAGCAAGACAGCTGCATCTGCTGTGGAAACCGTGGATGTACATACACACACATTATAAACACTTGGATGTTTGCAGTCAATTAAATGTGCTCATAGGACACAATCAATCATTCTAAAAGTTTTTTTCCCCCAGAAAATTAACCTTTTAATCTTATAGACAAGAGCGAGATGAGAAACTAGAGCTCCTGTGTGTTTGGTAAACACGTTTATGCTCATTCAACACAAAACAGATGGTTGTAAAAAATAAATGTCTATCTTTATTCCCAATCGGTCTGTCATTATCTTTTCCAACACCCCTCACCCTCCTTCTCCTTCCCCCTTCTCTTTTTGGGGGCTATAAATATGTTAATACCTTCTTGTGTATCCGTTCCTCTCCCTCCTGCTCATGCCTGGTTACCAAAGCACAACTGTTCTTCCGTTTCTTTTTAAATATTTGGAGATTTATATCAACCAACCGGAAAATTGAACTGGATCATTAGACAACCATGTGTCTTGTCGCCGTGTGTATGTGTGTGTGTGTGTGTGTGTGTGTGTGTGTGTGTGTGTGTGTGTGTGTGTTTGTGAGTGCTTGTGTGTGTGAATATAAAATCATAATGCAATAACAAGATCTAGTTACAAGTTTGACCACATGATTTCTGGAGTCACTAAATATTAAACCATGATATTTGCAAGATAATGTTCAGTGGTATGATATTCAAGAGTGCTGATCATAATCAATATAAATCAATCAACCAATCAATAAATCAACCAGCTTACTTACCGACTGATAGACAATCTGATTTGGAGTCAGATGCTCTGCTACCGTTGTGCCACAATGTCAGAAAACTACAGAAATACCAAATCATAGACAACAACCTCTCTCTTGCATAGATATGACCCTGACGTGATTTGAACACGCACCCTTCTGATCTGGAGTCAGACGCGCTACCGTTGCGCCACAAGGTCAAAAAACCACAGAAGAAGTATCCAATCATAGACAACAACCTCTCTCTTCCATAGATGAATAGTATACAATTTGATTAGAATTAGCTTCTTTTTAGCTCATGGACCTTGGAGTAGTTGACTCTGAAACGACATGGTCAAGAAACCTTCGGATCCCGAGTGTGTTGCACCAGAAGGATAGAAGACTACTATAGAAGTGGCCCATCAAAGTGAAGAACTTATCTGTGCTTGTAAAGAACTAATAATATTCAAATTGATTAGTGTAGGCTAGCATTTCATCAATGGAAAGTGGAGCTTTTGACCTTGACGTGATTTGAACACGCAACCTTCTGATCTGGAGTCAGATGCGCTACCATTGCGCCACAAGGTCAGAAAACCACGGAAGAAGTATCCAATCATAGACAACAACCTCTCTCTACTTTACATAAAAGTATAAAATGTGATTAGTATTAGTTTCTTTCTTGTTCATTTAGCTTTGAGTGGTTGACCCTGATATGACATGGTCAAGCAACCTTTGGATCTGGAGTGTGTTGCACCAGATGGATAGAAGACTACAATAGATCTGGCCCATCAAAGAACTTATCTCTGCTTGTAAATAATTAAGATTGTTCAAGTTGATTAGTGTACGCTAGCACCTTCCATAAGTAAAGTAGAGTGATTGACCCTGACGTGATTTGAACACGCAACCTTCTGATCTGGAGTCAGACGCGCTACCATTGCGCCACAAGGTCAGAAAACCACTGAAGAAGTATCCAATCATAGACAACAACCTCTCTCTTCCATAGATGAATAGTTTACAATTTGATTAGAATTAGCTTCTTTTTAGCTCATGGACCTTGGAGTGGTTGACCCTGATACGACATGGTCAAGCAACCTTTGGATCTGGAGTGTGTTGCACCAGATGGATAGAAGACTACAATAGATCTGGCCCATCAAAGAACTTATCTCTGCTTGTAAATAATTAAGATTGTTCAAGTTGATTAGTGTACGCTAGCACCTTCCATAAGTAAAGTAGAGTGATTGACCCTGACGTGATTTGAACACGCAACCTTCTGATCTGGAGTCAGACGCGCTACCATTGCGCCACAAGGTCAGAAAACCACTGAAGAAGTATCCAATCATAGACAACAACCTCTCTCTTCCATAGATGAATAGTTTACAATTTGATTAGAATTAGCTTCTTTTTAGCTCATGGACCTTGGAGTGGTTGACCCTGATATGACATGGTCAAGAAACCTTTGGATCTGGAGTGTGTTGCACCAGATGGATAGAAGACTACAATAGATCTGGCCAATCAAAGAACTTATCTCTGCTTGTAAATAATTAAGATTGTTCAACGTTGTTAGTGTAGGCTAGCACCTTCCGTAAGTAAAGTAGAGTGATTGACCCTGACGTGATTTGAACACGCAACCTTCTGATCTGGAGTCAGACGCGCTACTATTGCGCCACAAGGTCAGAAAACCACAGAAGAAGTATCCAATCATAGACAACAACCTCTCTCTTCCATAGATGAATGGTTTACAATTTGATTAGAATTAGCTTCTTTTTAGCTCATGGACCTTGGAGTAGTTGACTCTGATACGACATGGTCAAGTAAACTTCAGATCCCGAGTGTGTTGCACCAGAAGGATAGAAGACTACTATAGAAGTTGCCCATCAAAGTGAAGAACTTATCTGTGCTTGTAAAGAACGAATAATATTCAAATGTGTTAGTGTAGGCTAGCATTTCATAAATGGGAAGTGGAGCATTTGACCATGACATGATTTGAACAGGGAATTTTCTGATCTGGAGTCAGATGCGCTATTGTTGCGCCACAAGGTCAGTAAACAGCAGAACAAGTATCCAATCACATACAACAACCTCTCTCTACTTTACATAAAAGTATAAAATGTGATTAGTATTAGTTTCCTTCTTGCTCATTTAGCTTTGAGTGGTTGACCCTGATATGACATGGTCAAGCAGCCTTTGGATCTGGAGTGTGTTGCACCAGATGGGTAGAAGACTACAATAGAAGTGGCCCATCAAAGTGAAGGACTTATCTCTGCTTGTAAATAATTAAGATTGTTCAAGTTGGTTAGCACCTTCCTCAAGGAAAGCAGAGTGAATGACCCTGATGTGATTTGAATGTGCAACCATCTGATCTGGAGTCAGACGTGCTACTGTTGCGCCACAGGTCTGGCTTATGAAAGAACTTATCTCTGCTTTTAAATAATTAATATTGTTCAAGTTGGTTTGTGTAGGTTAGCAAAGGCTAGCACATTCATCAAGGAAAGTAGAGTGATTGACGCTGACAAGATTTGAACACACGACCTTCTGATTGGAGTCAGACGCGCTACCGTTGCGCCACAAGGTCAGAAAACCATTGAAGAAGTATCCAATCATAGACAACAACCTCTCTCTTCCATCGATGAAAAGTTTACAATTTGATTAGAATTAGCTTCTTTTTAGCTCATGGACCTTAGAGTGGTTGACCCTGATATGACATGGTCAAGAAACCTTCGGATCCCTAGTGTGTTACAACAAAAGGACAGAAGACTACAATAGACGTGGCTCATGAAAGAACTTATCTGTGCTTGTAAATAATTAATATGGTTCAAGTTTGTTAGTGTAGGATAGCACCTTCCTCAAGTAAAGTAGAGTGATTGACCCTGACATGATTTGAACACACAACCTTCTGATCTGGAGTCAGACACGCTACCATTGCGCCACAAGGTCAGAAAACTGCAGAATAACTATCCAATCATATAGAACAACCTCTCTCTACTTAACATAAAATTATAAAATGTAATTAGTATTAGTTTCTTTCTTGCTCATTTAGCTTTGAGTGGTTGACCCTGATATGACATGGTCAAGAAACCTTTGGATCCCTAGTGTGTTGCAACAGATGGATATAAGACTACAATAGAAGTGGCCAATCAAAGTGAAGAACTTATCTGTACTTGTAAAGAACGAATAATATTCAAATGTGTTAGTGTAGGCTAGCATTTCATAAATGGGAAGTGGAGCATTTGACCATGACATGATTTGAACAGGGAATTTTCTGATCTGGAGTCAGATGCGCTATTGTTGCGCCACAAGGTCAGTAAACAGCAGAACAAGTATCCAATCACATACAACAACCTCTCTCTACTTTACATAAAAGTATAAAATGTGATTAGTGTTAGTTTCTTTCTTGTTCATTTAGCTTTGAGTGGTTGACCCTGATATGACATGGTCAAGCAACCTTTGGATCTGGAGTGTGTTGCACCAGAAGGATAGAATACTGCAATAGAAGTGGACCATCAAAGTTAAGAACTTATCTCTACTTGTAAATAAATTATATTGTTCAAGTTGGTTAGTGTAGGCTAGCATTTTCCTCAAGTGAACTAGAGTGATTGACCCTGACGTGATTTGAACATGCATCCTTCTGATCTGGAGTCAGACGTGCTACAATTGCGCCACAAGGTCAGAAAACCATGGAAGAAGTATCCAATCATAGACAACAACCTCTCTCTTCCATAGATGAATAGTTTACAATTTGATTAGAATTAGCTTCTTTTTAGCTCATGGACCTTGGAGTAGTTGACTCTGAAACGACATGGTCAAGAAACCTTCGGATCCCGAGTGTGTTGCACCAGAAGGATAGAAGACTACTATAGAAGTGGCCCATCAAAGTGAAGAACTTATCTGTGCTTGTAAAGAACTAATAATATTCTAATTAATTAGTGTAGGCTAGCATTTCATCAATGGAAAGTGGAGCTTTTGACCTTGACGTGATTTGAACACGCAACCTTCTGATCTGGAGTCAGATGCGCTACCATTGCGCCACAAGGTCAGAAAACCACAGAAGAAGTATCCAATCATAGACAACAACCTCTCTCTACTTTACATAAAAGTATAAAATGTGATTAGTATTAGTTTCTTTCTTGTTCATTTAGCTTTGAGTGGTTGACCCTGATATGACATGGTCAAGCAACCTTTGGATCTGGAGTGTGTTGCACCAGATGGATAGAAGACTACAATAGATCTGGCCCATCAAAGAACTTATCTCTGCTTGTAAATAATTAAGATTGTTCAAGTTGATTAGTGTACGCTAGCACCTTCCATAAGTAAAGTAGAGTGATTGACCCTGACGTGATTTGAACACGCAACCTTCTGATCTGGAGTCAGACGCGCTACCATTGCGCCACAAGGTCAGAAAACCACTGAAGAAGTATCCAATCATAGACAACAACCTCTCTCTTCCATAGATGAATAGTTTACAATTTGATTAGAATTAGCTTCTTTTTAGCTCATGGACCTTGGAGTGGTTGACCCTGATACGACATGGTCAAGAAACCTTTGGATCTGGAGTGTGTTGCACCAGATGGATAGAAGACTACAATAGATCTGGCCCATCAAAGAACTTATCTCTGCTTGTAAATAATTAAGATTGTTCAAGTTGATTAGTGTACGCTAGCACCTTCCATAAGTAAAGTAGAGTGATTGACCCTGACGTGATTTGAACACGCAACCTTCTGATCTGGAGTCAGACGCGCTACCATTGCGCCACAAGGTCAGAAAACCACTGAAGAAGTATCCAATCATAGACAACAACCTCTCTCTTCCATAGATGAATAGTTTACAATTTGATTAGAATTAGCTTCTTTTTAGCTCATGGACCTTGGAGTGGTTGACCCTGATATGACATGGTCAAGAAACCTTTGGATCTGGAGTGTGTTGCACCAGATGGATAGAAGACTACAATAGATCTGGCCAATCAAAGAACTTATCTCTGCTTGTAAATAATTAAGATTGTTCAAGTTGGTTAGTGTAGGCTAGCACCTTCCGTAAGTAAAGTAGAGTGATTGACCCTGACGTGATTTGAACACGCAACCTTCTGATCTGGAGTCAGACGCGCTACTATTGCGCCACAAGGTCAGAAAACCACAGAAGAAGTATCCAATCATAGACAACAACCTCTCTCTTCCATAGATGAATGGTTTACAATTTGATTAGAATTAGCTTCTTTTTAGCTCATGGACCTTGGAGTAGTTGACTCTGATACGACATGGTCAAGTAAACTTCAGATCCCGAGTGTGTTGCACCAGAAGGATAGAAGACTACTATAGAAGTTGCCCATCAAAGTGAAGAACTTATCTGTGCTTGTAAAGAACGAATAATATTCAAATGTGTTAGTGTAGGCTAGCATTTCATAAATGGGAAGTGGAGCATTTGACCATGACATGATTTGAACAGGGAATTTTCTGATCTGGAGTCAGATGCGCTATTGTTGCGCCACAAGGTCAGTAAACAGCAGAACAAGTATCCAATCACATACAACAACCTCTCTCTACTTTACATAAAAGTATAAAATGTGATTAGTATTAGTTTCCTTCTTGCTCATTTAGCTTTGAGTGGTTGACCCTGATATGACATGGTCAAGCAGCCTTTGGATCTGGAGTGTGTTGCACCAGATGGGTAGAAGACTACAATAGAAGTGGCCCATCAAAGTGAAGGACTTATCTCTGCTTGTAAATAATTAAGATTGTTCAAGTTGGTTAGCACCTTCCTCAAGGAAAGCAGAGTGAATGACCCTGATGTGATTTGAATGTGCAACCATCTGATCTGGAGTCAGACGTGCTACTGTTGCGCCACAGGGTCTGGCTTATGAAAGAACTTATCTCTGCTTTTAAATAATTAATATTGTTCAAGTTGGTTTGTGTAGGTTAGCAAAGGCTAGCACATTCATCAAGGAAAGTAGAGTGATTGACGCTGACAAGATTTGAACACACGACCTTCTGATTTGGAGTCAGACGCGCTACCGTTGCGCCACAAGGTCAGAAAACCATTGAAGAAGTATCCAATCATAGACAACAACCTCTCTCTTCCATCGATGAAAAGTTTACAATTTGATTAGAATTAGCTTCTTTTTAGCTCATGGACCTTAGAGTGGTTGACCCTGATATGACATGGTCAAGAAACCTTCGGATCCCTAGTGTGTTACAACAAAAGGACAGAAGACTACAATAGACGTGGCTCATGAAAGAACTTATCTGTGCTTGTAAATAATTAATATGGTTCAAGTTTGTTAGTGTAGGATAGCACCTTCCTCAAGTAAAGTAGAGTGATTGACCCTGACATGATTTGAACACACAACCTTCTGATCTGGAGTCAGACACGCTACCATTGCGCCACAAGGTCAGAAAACTGCAGAATAACTATCCAATCATATAGAACAACCTCTCTCTACTTAACATAAAATTATAAAATGTAATTAGTATTAGTTTCTTTCTTGCTCATTTAGCTTTGAGTGGTTGACCCTGATATGACATGGTCAAGAAACCTTTGGATCCCTAGTGTGTTGCAACAGATGGATATAAGACTACAATAGAAGTGGCCAATCAAAGTGAAGAACTTATCTGTACTTGTAAAGAACGAATAATATTCAAATGTGTTAGTGTAGGCTAGCATTTCATAAATGGGAAGTGGAGCATTTGACCATGACATGATTTGAACAGGGAATTTTCTGATCTGGAGTCAGATGCGCTATTGTTGCGCCACAAGGTCAGTAAACAGCAGAACAAGTATCCAATCACATACAACAACCTCTCTCTACTTTACATAAAAGTATAAAATGTGATTAGTGTTAGTTTCTTTCTTGTTCATTTAGCTTTGAGTGGTTGACCCTGATATGACATGGTCAAGCAACCTTTGGATCTGGAGTGTGTTGCACCAGAAGGATAGAATACTGCAATAGAAGTGGACCATCAAAGTTAAGAACTTATCTCTACTTGTAAATAAATTATATTGTTCAAGTTGGTTAGTGTAGGCTAGCATTTTCCTCAAGTGAACTAGAGTGATTGACCCTGACGTGATTTGAACATGCATCCTTCTGATCTGGAGTCAGACGTGCTACAATTGCGCCACAAGGTCAGAAAACCATGGAAGAAGTATCCAATCATAGACAACAACCTCTCTCTTCCATAGATGAATAGTTTACAATTTGATTAGAATTAGCTTCTTTTTAGCTCATGGACCTTGGAGTAGTTGACTCTGAAACGACATGGTCAAGAAACCTTCGGATCCCGAGTGTGTTGCACCAGAAGGATAGAAGACTACTATAGAAGTGGCCCATCAAAGTGAAGAACTTATCTGTGCTTGTAAAGAACTAATAATATTCTAATTAATTAGTGTAGGCTAGCATTTCATCAATGGAAAGTGGAGCTTTTGACCTTGACGTGATTTGAACACGCAACCTTCTGATCTGGAGTCAGATGCGCTACCATTGCGCCACAAGGTCAGAAAACCACAGAAGAAGTATCCAATCATAGACAACAACCTCTCTCTACTTTACATAAAAGTATAAAATGTGATTAGTATTAGTTTCTTTCTTGTTCATTTAGCTTTGAGTGGTTGACCCTGATATGACATGGTCAAGCAACCTTTGGATCTGGAGTGTGTTGCACCAGATGGATAGAAGACTACAATAGATCTGGCCCATCAAAGAACTTATCTCTGCTTGTAAATAATTAAGATTGTTCAAGTTGATTAGTGTACGCTAGCACCTTCCATAAGTAAAGTAGAGTGATTGACCCTGACGTGATTTGAACACGCAACCTTCTGATCTGGAGTCAGACGCGCTACCATTGCGCCACAAGGTCAGAAAACCACTGAAGAAGTATCCAATCATAGACAACAACCTCTCTCTTCCATAGATGAATAGTTTACAATTTGATTAGAATTAGCTTCTTTTTAGCTCATGGACCTTGGAGTGGTTGACCCTGATACGACATGGTCAAGCAACCTTTGGATCTCGAGTGTGTTGCACCAGATGGATAGAAGACTACAATAGATCTGGCCCATCAAAGAACTTATCTCTGCTTGTAAATAATTAAGATTGTTCAAGTTGATTAGTGTAGGCTAGCACCTTCCTCAAGTAAAGTAGAATGATTGACCCTGACGTGATTTGAACACGCAACCTTCTGATCTGGAGTCAGACGCGCTACCGTTGCGCCACAAGGTCAGAAAACCACAGAAGAAGTATCCAATCATAGACAACAACCTCTCTCTTCCATAGATGAATAGTATACAATTTGATTAGAATTAGCTTCTTTTTAGCTCATGGACCTTGGAGTAGTTGACTCTGATATGACATGGTCAAGTAACCTTCAGATCCCGAGTGTGTTGCACCAGAAGGATAGGAGACTACTATAGAAGTTGCCCATCAAAGTGAAGAACTTATCTGTGCTTGTAAAGAACTAATAATAAGCACATTTATTAGTGTAGGCTAGCATTTCATTAATGGAAAGTGGAGCTTTTGACCTTGATGTGATTTGAACACACAACCTTCTGATCTGGAGTCAGACGCGCTACCATTGCGCCACAAGGTCAGAAAACCACAGAAGAAGTATCCAATCATAGACAACAACCTCTCTCTACTTTACATAAAAGTATAAAATGTGATTAGTATTAGTTTCTTTCTTGTTCATTTAGCTTTGAGTGGTTGACCCTGATATGACATGGTCAAGCAACCTTTGGATCTGGAGTGTGTTGCACCAGATGGATAGAAGACTACAATAGATCTGGCCCATCAAAGAACTTATCTCTGCTTGTAAATAATTAAGATTGTTCAAGTTGATTAGTGTACGCTAGCACCTTCCATAAGCAAAGTAGAGTGATTGACCCTGACGTGATTTGAACACACAACCTTCTGATCTGGAGTCAGACGCGCTACCATTGCGCCACAAGGTCAGAAAACCACTGAAGAAGTATCCAATCATAGACAACAACCTCTCTCTTCCATAGATGAATAGTTTACAATTTGATTAGAATTAGCTTCTTTTTAGCTCATGGACCTTGGAGTGGTTGACCCTGATATGACATGGTCAAGAAACCTTTGGATCTGGAGTGTGTTGCACCAGATGGATAGAAGACTACAATAGATCTGGCCCATCAAAGAACTTATCTCTGCTTGTAAATAATTGATATGGTTCAAGTTGGTTAGTGCAGGCTAGCACCTTCCTCAAATGAAGTAGAGTAATTGACCCTGACGTGATTTGAACACGCAACCTTCTGATCTGGAGTCAGACGCGCTACCATTGCGCCACAAGGTCAGAAAACCACAGTAGAAGTATCCAATCATAGACAACAACCTCTCTCTTCCATAGATGAATAGTATACAATTTGATTAGAATTAGCTTCTTTTTAGCTCATGGACCTTGGAGTAGTTGACTCTGATATGACATGGTCAAGTAACCTTCAGATCCCGAGTGTGTTGCACCAGAAGGATAGAAGACTACTATAGAAGTTGCCCATCAAAGTGAAGAACTTACCTCTGCTTGTAAAGAACTAATAATATTCAAATGTATTAGTGTAGGCTAGCATTTCATAAACAGAAAGTGGAGCTTTTGACCTTGACGTGATTTGAACACACAACCTTCTGATCTGGAGTCAGACGCGCTACCATTGCGCCACAAGGTCAGGAAAATAAGGAACAAGTATCCAATTATATACAACAACCTCTCTCTACTTTACATAAAAGTATAAAATGTAATTAGTATTAGTTTCTTTCTTGTTCATTTAGCTTTGAGTGGTTGACCCTGATATGACATGGTCAAGCAACCTTTGGATCTGGAGTGTGTTGCACCAGGAGGATAGAATACTGCAATAGAAGTGGACCATCAAAGTAAAGAACTTATCTCTACTTGTAAATAATTAAGATTGTTCAAGTTGATTAGTGTACGCTAGCACCTTCCATAAGTAAAGTAGAGTGATTGACCCTGACGTGATTTGAACATGCATCCTTCTGATCTGGAGTCAGACGCGCTACAATTGCGCCACAAGGTCAGAAAACCATGGAAGAAGTATCCAATCATAGACAACAACCTCTCTCTTCCATAGATGAATAGTTTACAATTTGATTAGAATTAGCTTCTTTTTAGCTCATGGACCTTGGAGTAGTTGACTCTGATACGACATGGTCAAGTAAACTTCAGATCCCGAGTGTGTTGCACCAGAAGGATAGAAGACTACTATAGAAGTTGCCCATCAAAGTGAAGAACTTATCTGTGCTTGTAAAGAACGAATAATATTCAAATGTGTTAGTGTAGGCTAGCATTTCATAAATGGGAAGTGGAGCATTTGACCATGACATGATTTGAACAGGGAATTTTCTGATCTGGAGTCAGATGCGCTATTGTTGCGCCACAAGGTCAGTAAACAGCAGAACAAGTATCCAATCACATACAACAACCTCTCTCTACTTTACATAAAAGTATAAAATGTGATTAGTATTAGTTTCCTTCTTGCTCATTTAGCTTTGAGTGGTTGACCCTGATATGACATGGTCAAGCAGCCTTTGGATCTGGAGTGTGTTGCACCAGATGGGTAGAAGACTACAATAGAAGTGGCCCATCAAAGTGAAGGACTTATCTCTGCTTGTAAATAATTAAGATTGTTCAAGTTGGTTAGCACCTTCCTCAAGGAAAGCAGAGTGAATGACCCTGATGTGATTTGAATGTGCAACCATCTGATCTGGAGTCAGATGTGCTACTGTTGCGCCACAAGGTCTGGCTTATGAAAGAACTTATCTCTGCTTTTAAATAATTAATATTGTTCAAGTTGGTTTGTGTAGGTTAGCAAAGGCTAGCACATTCATCAAGGAAAGTAGAGTGATTGACGCTGACAAGATTTGAACACACGACCTTCTGATCTGGAGTCAGACGCCCTACCGTTGCGCCACAAGGTCAGAAAACCATTGAAGAAGTATCCAATCATAGACAACAACCTCTCTCTTCCATCGATGAAAAGTTTACAATTTGATTAGAATTAGCTTCTTTT